GGCTTCGTTTGGTCCCTAGACCCGGAAAGGAATAGGAAAGGAACGCGATACCCGTCAGTTCCCTACAAAAACTGTGGCAGCCCAAGCGGAAAAGGGACGCGGAGCCCTCCAAATAAAAATCCCCATAGTGGGGAAGGCGTTCCTTCTTTTCCCGCTGTGGGAGAATAGTACTATTATTCTCCAACAACAGGAAAAAAGAACGCCCAAAACTGGCCTAAATGCTGCGTAAATGCTGCGAAACGTCTTGGGCTACTAGTGGTCTCCAGTTCTTTCTTTCTGTCTTACGTATCAGTTATAACACGCTACAAACACGTTCTCTAACATATTAAAATCACGTTTAGTTCAACAAGCTCATACCTCTCCTCTGTCTTTTCTCACTTTTGACACGGCCTTTCGCACGGAAAAGAGTGGAGGCCCGTTATGAGACTATTTTTACCTCTTAGAGGTGTACCTCCCCTCTGTCTTTTTCAGGGCCCAAAGGTAGAGGTTTTCCGGTATAGGGTGGATGCGCTGCTGTAACACTCGGAACTCTGTTGAAAACTGTGCAGAGGTTCAGGGTTTAGGCTTAAGCCTTGCGCTCAAGATACCGCGCATGACTACTACTGGCTTAAGAACCCCAATAACATCAAAGATGAATCCCTCTATTACCCTTATAAGGAAGAACATGTTTTTGGATGGTTCATAAACCCTAAACCCTAAACCCTAAACCCTAAACCTTAAACCCTAAACCCTAAACCCTAAACACGTCCGGTGCAAAAAGCTGTAGCTTGCAATTTTGGATCAGAGCAAGCTGTAAGTCCGTCAACCGAGGGAGCTGGTTTCCGGTTGGGCCCCTGTGGTTTCTGATTCCACCCTGTTTCATTTCTGGTTCGGCCCTATGTGGTCTCCGATTCCCACACGTCTGATGCTGGTTTTGGATTCTTGCTCGCTGGTCTCCGACTCTGGCCTTGGTTTCTGATTCGGCCTTGCTGGTCTCTGATTGGGGTCACTGGTCTCTGATTCGTGTTTTTCCGGTCAGGATGCACTGCGCAGCAAGCCACAGCGCAGGCAAGTCGCTATCGACGTCCTGACGCTTCACCGTTGCCGTGGCCGATCGGCAGCACCAGGAATGCATCGTCGTCTTCAGACTCCCCGCCCACTCACTGCCCATGCTGCGGTGTTGTCCCAGCCATGGCTAACGCAGGAGTGAGAAGGTAGGGAACCCGTTGGGCTAAGGCTTATTGCATCCAAGTCGCAAAGAGGGGGCTGTGAATCACAGTCGCCTTAGTAAGTTGGGGACAGGAAAAGAGCGCAGCAACCAGGACTGCCGAACCACCCTGAACCTGAACCAAAGAATCCCTGAACAAAAGATCCTGTTCTCTGGGCGACTGTCTGTGTCACCTGTCGATGGTGGGGCCTGACGCCAGATGGGGCGCACTCGCAAGGCAGTTCTGAAGCATACCTTCAAGCTCATCGGACACGCTCACTGAGATCTTTCTGGTTAGGAAGACTTCCCGTGTTGTTTGGTCGCTTCGCGCCCTCGCCAGCCGCAACGCCACAGAGATCCCAAGCTAGCAAGGTGTTGTTCAAAGCGAAGCATGCGAAAGAGAGTGAATCAGTCAGACCTCGACGTAAGAAGACTCCGCCGAAGCCAGTCAAGGAGCTGAACCCCCTTGTGCCGAGTCTTGACGATCGCCTGCCGCAAGAGGGGAGGGTTTCGAGATTCGAGAGGAAGCCCGAGTCGACGTCCGCTTACACACCGGTCGTCGTCAGTGGTATCGGAAGATCGTCTTTCTTTCTTGACCTTCCGTCTCGCGCGTGTCTTCGCGACAAGCCCTCAAGAATCCTGACCGGACCTCGACGGCCGCGGGGAAGGCACCTTCCACGCGTCCGCAAAGCGGCGAGGCTACGTGCCCGCAGGTAGTAACAGAGGCACGTGGCAACAATGCTTACCTGACAAGCGGCTCGGCGTCGGCTTTGAGCGCTTGCGCCTTGCTGATCGCAACGGTGAGGAGCGATGGTCTGCTGCGAGCAAGCCTTGGCCGGATTTGGGGCCACACCTTCCGCCCAGTCCTCTGAGTATGACAGTGGAGTGATGGATCCGGCCGGACTCCGTCGGGCAGGAGTCAAGGCACTGCTCCGGCCTGGCGTCGTCCCAACGCCAAGGTACCGGGACCAGCGCTCGTTCTCAGGAGGATCCCCGGCTTCCAGCTGGGTGAGGAACAAGCATGGAACCTGAAGAAGCCAAAAGACTCGGATCCAAACAAGTGAAGTGTTCAGGGGCGCTTCGAATCCGAGCTCAAGCCTCTTAAGCCCTGAGCGTCAGTGAGCGGGAAACTACCTGAGACACCGGAACACCAACAAAGCTAACGCATGAAAACCAAAAGCGCAGTCCAGTCCTCGACCTCATCACTGACCTGCCGCCCAAAAGCGCCGGCTCAAGACAACAAAGCTAGCGGTCGACCCGGACATTGCTGCTGCAAACCTGAAAAATGTCGGCAGGGACCCCAGCGCTTCTTGGAATTTCCGGTGCAACCGAGTTCCATGTTCGTGCCTGCGTCTCGTAAGGCCTTCCTGAAGCGAGCGCAGAGGTCGAGGAGGTGACGAACATCATCGAACCCTCACGCATGGCCTTGCCTTCTTATAGCTGCCGCAACAGCTCGGCAGGACCAGGAAGTACCAGATGCTGAAGCGAGACTACGTCAGGACGAATCCGACTCTCGAGCCCTTCGAGATCGTAGCCCCGGTCTGCGCCCTAACTTTCCAGACCGCATGACAAGTGAAGCTCCAGATAAGACTGCCGTGAATCCACAGCCGAGGTGTTCCTGCTCACCAACGACGCTTGGATCGTAAGGCACTGCAGACGTGACTACAGGCTTGCTTCCGCTCGTAACTTGGCCGAGCAGCATCAGCAAGACGAGCAACCGTGTGCCAGGAAGTGGAAGCTAGTCGACCCAGCCTCCTCCAGTTCTCTTGTTTGGTATGCAAACAGCTAAAATCGCGTTTTTTGGTTGGCGCGGACCGTTTCGGACCTCAGATGCTTGAGTGGGTGAGTGGGTGCGTGGGTGCGTGGCGTGGGTGAGTGATTGACCCAAAGCTCCTACGCCCAGTGCGGACGACGGGGCGAAAAATTGCGTCTGGGAACACCTCTGGGAACACCTCTGACGCCGCATTTGCGGATTTTGTGTGGATGGGCAGCTGGCAGCCTCATACCCAACACACCAAAGATTTCTCAATCTATCAAGTTCACCGAGCTAGCCCCATGCGCAGCTGTGACAGAACCACCTCAAGCAGTTCCCGCCAGGCTTGACATGCTGCAGAGAGAGGCAGGGCTTCTTCAGTGCTCGAACATGCCATGCTCCAGTACTTGTGAATGTGTGGCAGATTGATCGAGATGGCGATTTTTGTGTAGAATCTATCGAATCATAGAGTCATAGGTGGCCTGCTGCCGTGAGGAGGCCAGGAGAGTGACGTAGTCCATGCAGTTAAAGTCGCGCCTGTGAATACAGGGCTCAGGCCTGAGTTCGCCCCTGTGAAGATGTCACAGTGGGCATAAGGCATAAGGATGTTGGATGATGTTGGCAAGCGCGGCGCGGCTCAGGGATTGCATGGAGGGCGGCGCAGTTCTCTGGCCTTTCTATGTCTCTTTCTTTCAGGGCTTCTCTCTCTCTCTCTCTCTCTCACTCTCTTTCCCTGTCTCTCTCTCTCTCTCTCTCTCTCTCTCTTGCTGGGTTTTTCTCAGTCTTGCTCTCTCCCCCTCTTTTCCTCCCCCTCCCTCTTCTCCCACGTGACATGCCTGTGTCTGCATCCCTGGGCATGCGCTGCGTGGCACCGGCCGGAGGCAAATGGCTGTCGCGAGGAGGCATCGGCCTTGCGCGAGTATCTCACGGAGGTGCAGCTAAGCTGTTGAGAGTGCGACCGATCAGGGAGACTGCAAGGGGAGTAGCCCAACATTGAAAAACGACAGTTCCCAGACCAAAGGGATGCAAGCGGCTACTATTGCGACTGAAGGGCTTGGACAAGGCTTGAATTCGCAAACGGCAGGTTGGCGCCCTCAGCATTGCCGTGTCCTCAGACAAACATTGGCCAGCAGCCGTTCTTTTCACTCAAGCTGGCGTCGTCGGTGCGCAACGCTATCGGGGTCTATTGCAGGAGTTGTGCCTTTTGCTGGGCATTTCCCGACTCAAGCTTGGATGCACAAGCCAGCATTCGCAAACATGCGGCAACTGATGCGTGATTTCAATCTTTGGAATCTGCAGCAATTGAAGCAACAAACTCGGATCCAGACTCTTCGAATGCGAGGTTAGATCGGTCACTGAAAGCAAACCGCTCTGGAGAAAATGATGAAGGTGAGCAACTGCTGCGACTGCCTTGATGAAGCCCAGCGTGCCCCCAACATGGCTTCTTGCGGAGCCGTTGCCACTTCTGGAACCAGAGGTCAGAGAGCCAACAGTCTGGTAGGGGAGCAAGGGAGAGCAGTACCTGTCAGAAAGTATGTGTGTGTGCCTCCGCAAGAAATGCGCAGAGAATGCTGCCGGGGGAGGGGCAGGGGGAAGACGAGAATGCAAGTGCCTTCCAGGATGGTCTGTACACCTGGCCGTCGCAGCTTGAGAATCATGCAGAGGACATCGAGGACACGGATGCTCCTCATAAGACAATCCCAAAGACTGCTGTTTTCAGCGTGCAGAGCAAATGCTTGCATGATCGCTGGGGGTCAATTTGGCATGTAGTCATGTTGAGTTCGCAAAGTGCTTGTGTTTGGTTTGTCGAGGAGCTCTTGATCATGGCCCGGGCAGTGTGGCGGGCGCGCAAGATCATTCATGAAGAGGCTTTGTTGGCATCCGGCAGTGAAGAATTAGATGGTTGCAGTACTCGCATGGGGCGTGATGCCCCTCACGTTGACCAAGAGTTCGCCGTTTTGTGATATGAAGGCAATACGCCGCACTTTCGTCAGATGTGCTGTGATGTGGCGTGCTCGATGGCAGGCTGAGCGCCGCAGTGCCCTGACGGACTTGCGCGGAATGGAGGCGCGTGCGGTGGCAACTTTGCTCCGAGAGGCGGTGGAAGCCTACAGGCAGGTTGCCGTGCGGTTGCAGTGTGGCTGCCACAAAGAACGTAGTACCATGGCAGCTGCGGGTTCCGGCTGCGCAGGTCTGCCTCTTTACCAGCAGAGCTGCTCGCAGCCGGCACGCCCATTCGAACGGTACTATCCTGGTAGCGAGGTTGGCAACATGTGGGGCTTTTTTTTGCCTTTTCATGCACCGCGAGCAGCTGGTGTTTTGACGGTGTGTAGTAGTGCCACAGTGCGGCACACTCCCATCGCCTCCCCCACTGCCACCGGCAAGTGTTGTAATTCCGGGAGGACTCCTGGGCCCCGGTACTTTCGTCGGACCTGAGGCCTCACACGGCTCGTGAGTGTTTGAGCACAATATTTGCACAGACACAACAGCATGGCACGGCCCAAAACAAAGATGCCGATTCCATACGACGCGACCCCTGGAGACCCCAAGCCAACAGTGGCACGAACTCACGGCGACGTGTATAGCTTCAATCCGAGGGGATTGAGCAAAGTATGGGCTGGTCGCACAGGTTTTTGTCTTCTGCGCAGGTTAACTCGTGATGGTCTCACGTCCCATTAGATTATACTACTGACAAATCTACAATCTACATGCTCTGAGGAACAAGGACTTCGGATTCCCCGTTCCCTTCCAAAAACCCACGTTCCCAACATGACAGAGGACGTGTAGCTAAGTGATTGGTCTTCTCCCAGGTATAACCATTCGGTACGCTTGGCGATCGACAAGGAGATGTGGCCGAGGCATGAGTGGAATACTGTAGGTCGAGTAGACAAGCCAAAGACGAAAGACTCAAACAACCCCGCCCGAAAGGAGACACCAATCAGGGCAACGGACTTGCAGAGATGTTCTCAGTTTTCTGTTGATTTATTTAAGGTCATCAACAGCCATCCCGAACATGGAATGTTGAATTGGCCTCGCATGGCTTCTCAGAGACTCCGCTAGGGCGCTGGGGCTAGGATCCGCTCTGCAAGGAGGGACCTGTCGGCCTTGGCCTTGAAGCTGGGTGCAGACATGCCACTGGGATGCTGAGTAGTCTGAGTAGTGGGTCGATTGGTCTGTGTGACTGCGACTATGACTCTGCGATTTTCTCGTCCTGCTTTCGGCCGCTTGGACGCGCCCACGGGCCAGAATCATGCGCAGAACGATGACCCACATGATCGGGTACCGTAGATAGCTTGCAATCTGTCTGCTTCTGTTTCAGCATCCGCCGTCGAAAGCCTTGTTGGATTGGCCCGTTGTCGCGAAAGCTTCTCGTGCGAGAGCTTCATTGCTCCGAACTGGCCAGGCTGAAATCTGGCAGGGGGATGGGACGGGATGGGGCGGGCCCGAAAATGTGACGTTCTTTTGGAGATTCTGAGGTCCGTGTTTGAGGGAAGAGGAACGAGGGGTCTGTGATGCTGCGCGTGGTCTGGGGTTTCATCTTTCTGGCGCTAAGCTTTCGTTCCAGCCCGCGTCGCTCTCAAGTGACACCGAGGCTGCCTCCCGCGACTCCCTGCGAGTTTGTGGAGGAGCTGCAATGCTTGTTTCGTTTTATTCGTTTGTTTCGCTTCATTTGCTCCGTTTTCTTCGTTGCTACGACCGCATGCGAGCGCTTCACTCGAATGGTGATCCCTGGACTTAACATGCAAAAGTCTACTCTTAAAGTCTTAGAGTCTTGATCTCAGCACCCTGGCAAGGAGTCATTGTGTTGGTGGGCATTCGGACAGCACAACAGAAATGCTGAGCCTCACCTGCAGATGCCCGGAAATCGTAGGTGACATGACCCGTTGCCCCGCTGCAAAATGTTGGCATAAGACACTTGTCTTCGGTCCGTCCCCGGTGGTAGGCGATCCCGCCAACCGTCTGCTGGGTGCTGTTTGTCTGTTTGTTTCCTCACATCTCTCACTAGCAGCGTTTGTGTTTGTGTTTTGGCGCCGCCCTCAGAAGTAGGAGATCACCACATTTGGCTGTGCGACAAGACTGTATAGTGACGGAAGAACAGTGGGGCACTTGGGCTGGCCTTTGCTGAGGACTGGCTTGGTCATGGATATTTCTGGCGGCCGATCCCGGAAAATATGCCCGCGGACTTTCACATCGAAAATGCGGCTGGAAACGCAGCATGGCTAACCATGGCGAACTGTGGCTGACCATGACTGAGGCCATTGGAGTGTCTGCCTGTCTGCCCACTTCAAGTGAAGGCCATGAATGATTTCGACTGTGTGGAGAGCGGCTTTCGCCGTCTTGATGGAAAAGTCCTAGCCGCGGACTACTCGCTGCTCCGACGTCACTTCCAGGAGCTGCAAGGCATTGCGAAGCTTCGGTTCGTGAGTAACATGGGTAAACGTTGTAGTCAGAGCTATTCAGTGTTGTGCAATGTCATGCATCTACTAGCTGATTCTGCAAGACATCGCCACCAGGCAAGTCGAATGACGAAGTGGATGGTTGGCTCATGAAGGAGATGTAGAAGACTGAAGAAGCCCATCATGTTCAGTCTTTTTCCACTGGCCCTCCGACCTTCCATAGAATCTCTCCGACAGTCTTGGAGTCACCGCACTTGGCAGTGATCGGGAAGGCTTCAACATGGTCCAATTGTGCAAGTTTCCAGGAGGCAGCCTGGCTCTCGGAAGGGCAGGCTCGTCGCCTGGCTGAGGGTGGAGATCACCACCACCTTATCACTTCAAAAGGCTCACTGAGACAGAGAGAGAGAGAGAGAGAGAGAGAGCACTTGACTTAATTGTCTTGAATCGTACTGCAGCTTGAGATCTCTGTTAGTGTGACACATGTTCAGGGCCACTGCTGCCCGGATCACGCTCTGCATTGCGAGCCTCTTGGGGCAAATCACATGGCACTTTGAAACCGCCATGGCAATTGCAGTGCCAGCCCATCAAGGTCAGGAGCGGCGGCCGAGCTGCCACCTTTATAGTGGCCGATCGCTATCGTGAGGCGCTCATGGAAAGCTTCAGTTCTTCAAGTCATGTCCCGGTCAGCCGGACCGTGTACAAGCTGTGGCGAGTGTGCACTCCAGTCACCGGATTTTTGCGTTCCTCGTGAGATGCGCCCACAGAGTTTCTTCATAATTGTATGCGCGCCGCCTCGGCAGCCGGGCCAGCCCACGTCCCAAGGCCCGAGAAATCGGAAAAACCTTTCGCAGGCCTGACAGCTGGGTCCAAAACAACACAATACGGCAGTGCTGCTTCTGTAGGAGCCGAAGACAGGAGGGAGCCCCCGCCACGGCATCGGTCTGCGGCTCCTGCAAACGATCCGGGGGGGTTTCAAGAAAAAGGGTTGGGAAGGTTGGAAGGAGACCGGATCCGGGTCTGCTTGTGCTAGACGAGTGCAAGACGCCTCTTCGGCTGCAAGCCGAGTGTGTTCGAAGTTTTGCGTTTCCCTAAGATGTGAATGAGGCATAGACGATCATGGCAACTTTCGAGCTGGCATGCTCGATGTCAAAGGCGTTGGTGGCTCGCAAGCACGTGACAGACCATTGACATGACCCAACTGAAGTCGTCAATCAGGAGCTGAATATTGCTGAATACACTGAGTGCACAGACTTGGGATACGAGGCACCCATGTCAGGGCCGACATCTCCTCGGAGAAGGTAACTGGTTTGCTGGGCCTTGCTGACGCTTTGAGGCGCCCGGCGGAGCCGATGCTGAGTGGCGAACCCTTTTGGTGAGAAAGGTCAACGCTGACCGAAGTAGATTAGATTAGCATGGGATGGGAACTTAATTCGCCGATTCCGTCCATCGCATTAAGCAGTTTAGCACGTGCAGCCCCTGACAGGGAGATGGCCTTTCAGCGTTTGGTACAGCGCCTTCTTGAGCTGGAAGGGCTCAGCGGCGCACGGGACCTAGTCCAGCCATTTGCCTGGGAAAGGGAGAAAGCCAGAGCAAAGGTGCCCCTAAAAAGTCACACAGCAGCGGTTGGGGCCTGGGTCTCGTGTCCATGTAAGGAACACGTGGCCTGGTCAGGTCATGGGAACCGTTCCTTACTATGCAATCATCGACACTGGCTTGGCATACTGCGCCACAAATCCCGCCACTGGATGGACTGGTGAAAGCTGCGTCCTGCTGGTGGCTCGGCCTGCGTAGCTTACCTGTAAGCGCGGCAGTAGACTCCATGCCGAAGATTGCTCCAGCACTTGGGCGAGGTGAAACTGCCAAAGGGAATACCTGTTGCATTGCATCAAGCTGCAGTGGCATGCGAACTTGCTGCTCACATAACTTTGGAATTCAGATTCAAGCCGCTCAAGCCGTTCAAGCCCGAAACGGCGTAGAGGAAACCACACCAACCTGACCCAAACGATGTTTTCGATGACGATCCCAGGTCAGACAAAGGCAGTCGCGCCTTTTCGACTCGTATGAGGGCATGAACTTTTCAGGCGCTCGCATTCCCTGCTGGGGTTGCGCAGCAAGGGGTTTAAGGCGAACTAGGGGAGACAAGAATGGATTGTGTCCATCAGCATCATGCTGTGATTTAGAAATGGTTTCTGGGACGTTTGCGGCTGAAAGCTGCAGTGAATGTAGAACGGGCCAAAACGAGCGGCAGAAGAGACGTATGACGAGACCAAAACGTTCAAGAACATCAATCTGATAGCCAGGGTTTAGGGCCGGAAGCAATGCGGTTTGCAAGAAATGTGTTTGAATTCTGGCCTGCACGTAGTGGATAACAGAAAGAGAACGAGGGAAAGAGAGAGAAAAGTGAGAGAGAGCGAGACAGAGAGAGAGAAAGTCAAACCCTGAACCCCCATGCCGGAAGAAGAAGAATAAGAAGAGGGAGACGGAGACTGAAACTGAAACTGAAACCGCCGGAAACTGATGGTCGCACGAGCTCTTCCTCTTTCTCTCTCGTCTCTCCTCTCCTCTCTGCCTCTCTTCTTCTAGTTTCTCGTCTCACAGTTTTCGTTCTTTCAGCAGAAACAAGCATTTGCACTTTGAGGGTTTAGGGTTTAGGGCGGCGCGCTTACAGGACCTATTGCAAAGACCTGGCGCTGGGGTTAGGCCAAGCAAGCGCCGATCACAAGCTTCGGCTATCCTAAACCCTAAAGCCTAAACAAAAACGGACCTAAACCATAAATTATGAAAGACTTCGCCCTTTCAGCGGCGCCGCGCCATCTGGCTCCTGATCGGACCATTTGCAAAGATCAGTTTATGCGCAACCAGATGTATTGATATTCTGGTTCAATTCCCCGGCCATGGGGAAGGTTTTACTGGTCTTCCGAAAAAAGTGTTTTTCCCCAGCTGTGGGGCAACCAGCCATGGGAAGATGACTTTTTCCTCCCTGCAAGAAATATATTTCCTTGAAAATCAGCCGATTCGCCCCCAAAACGCTTTATTTCCCTGAAATAACTGCATTTCCCCCCACCTGGGGATACAGGTTTTTTCAGGGAAAGCCCTTGGTGTTTGTTTGAGAAAGTAGGTCTCGACAAATTGAAAAAGCTGGATTTCGAGACCTACTTTCTCAAAACAAATCATCAAAATCCTTGGCTTGTTTCCCCAAAACAGAGTCTTCCTTTATTTCCCCAAGCAGGGAAGCAAGGAATTTTTCACGGAACCTTTTCTTTTTTTTTTGTGGGGGGGGGGGGGGGGGTCGAGGCCAGCACTTCGCGAAAGTCCACGACATGCCCAAAGCCTTCCCTCACCAAGGCTGTGGGTTTGCAGCACAGGGACCATAGGATCATATAGGATCCAAGCTGCACAGGCCGGGGTGGACCTTAGATGGCAAGCCTTTCACGCTGCCTACTGCGCAGCGGTGGGTCGGGAGCCACGACATCCCAGCTGAACCAGAGCTATGGAACACATTCGTGTAGAAGCAGGAGTACGAGGAAATGCAAACAACATGCGGCGGACTCTCCAACAGAGGTTTGCTGCTTCACGCGTCTTGCGTGTCTGTGCGCTAGCTCTTGACTCCTGATGCTTTCCCTTTCTGTCACTCAGGCCTCCGGCTGCGCGTGCGTGGAACCGTTGGGCTCGCGGGAGAGAGGGGAGAGAGGGGAGGGGAGAGAGGGAGAGCAAGGACAGAGGAAGAGCCAGTACAGATAGAGAGCAAACATTTTGGCCCAATCCAGGTTTCGTAAAAGTTCCCTCATGCCTTATGGTTTTCATCGCCGACAACGTTTGTCCCCATCCAAAGATACGCTCTTTTCTCTTGCCGCCTGACTTGTGACAGTTTGCCAAACAGATTCAAACTGCTCCCAACATTTTTCGACTTACACTGCCAAAGCCCACATCCAAACTCTGATTTTCTGATCCAAACTCTTTTTCCCCAAGCTCCCCCTTGCTGCGCAAATCCCACACCCCTTTATGCGCAGCGCAGAAGTGATAGCAGACTTGAAGACTGTAGGATGGAACTGCTCCATGCTGCAGGCATCTGCCCGGATGCTGTCCACTCAGTGGGCCCTGGGCGTGAAATGCGCCGAGTGCTTCACAGTTGCGAGCCGACAATCAATGTCAGAGGGGTCTGCGAAGAAGGTAGATGTTTGGATGAAGACGGAAAGCACTGTACTCAGATCCCGCAAACGATGTGTCAGAGCCTGGACATGCTGGCAGAAGTCGCATTTTCGCTGGTTGAGTTTAGCTTTCTACTGCGCATTGCAGCGCATGCTTACTTGAGTCGGCCTTCCAGCTCAGAACTTCTTTTAAGCAGCTCAGGTTGGGGCATCTCTGCCGAATTCGAGCCGCGAGCAGTGTTCCATGGACACGATGCTTCCGAAGATGAGGCAGCTGACGTTATCCATCAGCTGTTTGCTTCTTAGTTTGAATGAGAAGCTTCCGGCGGCACGTGGGAGGTGCTTTTGGCTGATCAAAGCGGAACGTGGAATTTACAGGCCCGCGGTGTCACCAAATATTTGCATATTCGGCCCTCAGTAAACGTTTGTATAGTCGAGGTGGGACTCAGGCCAAGGTGCTACCTGTGAAGCCGTTGTGTTGTTTTGCATTCCACTCAGAACAAGTAATTTGAAGGATTGTGCCTTCTTAGATGGGGATGGGTAAAGCGGCAGATAACACGGCATTAACGACAATTCTGAGTCTACACACAAGTCTCCGTACGCCTCTTGCATATGAAAAGGATGACGATGATGAGGGCCGGGAGCAGGGGTTCTGAGCACTACTGTGCACGTAAAGTCAAACAATTGGTTGTCCTCAACAACGGAGGCAGCGCCAGCAGAGTTTCACAAGCAAGTTAGAAAGATCACCGCTCTCAAAGATGCAACAAGGGTCTGAAGGCCACGAAGAACATTTTGTAACTTGCTCACGAGAAGCTGGCACTTGATGGATGGGCTGGCTCGGGCTCAGAAAGCCGAGTCCAGCTATGTACGCGCACAGCGTGGCCGTTGCGCGAACAAACCACACAGTGGAGGAAGACTGATGGTCAAGAAGGATACGAACTGGAGCATACCCCTTACGATTGGGCCATAGTGTTTGTGGCACCCTTTTGGAAGCTGCAGTACGTAGGGTGTTGAATGGTTCTGACAAGTACGGAAGTGGTTGAGAGAAGGCCGACGCGGCGTGCACTCATTTCATGGACTTCTCGGACTTCTATGTTCTGCCGCGGTCGCCCCTGCCAGATGCATGGTGCATGTCAGAGGAAGCTTTACGGCGTGGCTTGGCAGAAGTCTTGCCTGATCGCAGGAAGCAGCAACGTGTGAATATTGAGATATATGTGCATATATATATATATATATGCTTGAGCCTGGAAACGGGAAGGTGCCTTCTCCCTCGAGCGAACTGCCACATCAGAGAGAGCTCTGCATTGTTCCGCACTTGCTGAAAGGCTGTGGGGTGCCTGAGCAGCACTACAAGTAGGGGCAGCTTTAGCTCATCTAATGCATGGTGAGGCAGTGTGACCAAGGTCAGCGCGACCCGGAGTCTGCTGCTGCTGCCTGCCTTGAGCTACGAAAGAGCCTCTCCAAGCAGAAGGAGCACTGCACAGTTGGATTGGTAGTTCTCAATCTTCCAGGACTGTCAACGCAACCGAGACCCTAGAGCTTTTTTACGTGCATGGTTTTCGGTGAACTGCTCGACGCTGAACGTGACTGCGCTCTGGCCTGAAAGTCCTCCGCCAGAGTTTCGGCTCTACGAAACATAATGCTATGTGTTTTCGCATTTGGTATTGAACCTTGCCCCAGGCGCGCTGTTGTTTGGATTTCTGCGTAGGGAACCTGAAGCTGCAAAGGCAAAATGGTCAAAGAGACCGAAAACAACTCAAAGCAACACAAAGCAACACTGGCAGCTGCTCAAGAACTATAAGGCCTGCTTCAGACAGTCAGACAGTGAGTGGACAGCCCTGGCCAGGTGATAAACCCCTCATGGCCTGGGCTTTCTTCTTGCTACTGCAGCTTCTGCGGGCTGAAGCCCAGTCCTTGCTGCAAGTGGAGGGACAGCTCCGAAGGTGCGGCAATGGAAAGCAATGGAATGCAATGGACAGTAACGTGCCGGGATCGTTCGATGATGATCTGTCCATTCTCTGCCCTTGGCTCTGAACGGGTGATGCTGCCGATGCAGTCAGGACGCAGCTGGCCTCAGCAAGCCCCCACGATGCTGCCTGGTTCTACGCCTTGGAATCGGAAGTACAACCATCGGAGGTGGGCTGCATCACGTGTCATGGGGGACTTTCGTGTCGTCCAACGACCGAAAGGCAAAAGAGAGCACCCCACGCATTTTGCGCATTTTGTCGCGTGCAGGCTTCCGAACCAGAGCATCCACATCCCCGCCTGCGCCCACAAAGGCAGCAAGCCACACTCAGTGCGGCGCAAGAGAAAGCCACGGCAACCCCCGAGGCAGCAGAACCGTGGAACTCGCTAGCCACTGGCAAATCGGTGTTGACCTTCGCTAAAACAGTCTCCGTCTGACAACGTCCTGACAACGTCTGACAGCCAGGTGCAGAAGCAGCTCGCCAGCCAGGTGACGAACAAGGCCCTCGGTTTGTGCTGCGTCCTGCGCAGGTGGTAGTAGTGGCGTGTGAAGGCATGTGGAATCTGATGGAAGGCAAGGCAATTGCGGTATCTGAGCTCAGGTGGTCACCACCACAAAGCCCACGCTGAGTACTCCAACCGGGGCTCGCTCAAAGTTCCACACCCGTGCGGTCTTGGCCAACCTCACGTGCTCTCAGCCTGGCTGTGCAGCAAATGTGACCTTACATCTCTACGACCCCAAGACGGACATCGAGGGATGGGCGTGTTTCTATTCTTGAGTTCTACCGATTGAGTCTGGACTTCCCCCCCCCTCTCGTGTCGCCCATCTTGTCTCCCTTCCTGTTTCCCTTTAGACGCAGAGTCAGATGATTGGATGTGCCCTGCAATTTGTCTCTCAGATTGTCTCCCTTCTTGTCTCCTGTAGGCTCTACACGCAGAACCGAATCACTGGACGCAGCCAACTTGTCTAATTCTCCCAGCTTGCCTCCCTTAAATGCAGAACCACATCACTGAACGCATCCCCTCTCTTGTCTCCCTTTCCCTCAAACAGTCGAACTGCTCTGAGATTTTATACGATGTGATAACCAAAGGTCATGAGTGGACACGGCGTCCGGGACAATGGCGCGTTTCCATTTGTCTCAATCGTCGCCTTCTTGTCTCCCCGCTCCTGTCTCGTATTTTGCCGTCTTCCAAAAGTGCATTTGGCACGGTTTGTTGCCAATTTCCAGCTTCGACTTTCTCGACACGCAAGCTTGGCTTGAATATGCTTGAATTTGGTTCCCGAACCTAGAGAACAGCTCCAAACGCGCGTGTGGCACGGTTTGGCGAGCTTCGCCCGAATTCCGTTCCGGACATTGGGCAAGGCAAGGTGCCGATTGCAAGCTTCATGTGCTCCAACTGAAACCCAGCCAGATGCATCTTTCTGGCTTAGTCTTTAAATCTGGCTGAAGACCCATCAGAAACTTCGGAATCTTCGGGGTGTGGTCCGAACATGAAGTTTTATCTAGCAATCAGAAGCATGGACTAGTTCTGATCTGCTGTAGCTAGCTAGGTAGCCGGCTCACGACAGTCCCTCCAGGAGTACGCGCAGAACTGCAACTTAAGTTTAGCAGTTCATGCTACCGACTTCGATGACAACTTTGCTGGCGAGCGGGTGGCCAATTTTTTGGCCAACGGAAGAGCAATGGGTGGTGACTGCTACCCGTTGGTGAATGGATGTGTGTCGAAAGCATCTCGCGAGCTGCTGTATTCCTGCATCTCAGAGTTGCCCGTGGACACCGTCATCAGCAGCAAGGGCAAACTTCGAGTCGATGCAGAGATTCCCGGCAACGTCGATGAGTGCCCATACCACGGGAATTTGCTGCACGGCGTCACCACCGTACGGTGCCACGTCGGAAAGCTAGCTGATCTCACGACCACAACGTCGACGACGACCACCACGACTGTTGCCAAAATCAAATCAGCTGCCGCCGCATATGCTGCATCAGCACCAACAGACTTCAACTTCGTAAAGAAGTGGCTGGAAGAGCATCCTGGCAAGTCTCTCACGGACATGCCGGGCTACAGCTCCTTCTACAATCTGAGCCAACTGTCTGAGCCTGCCGAACCCGCCAGCTTCGGTTCAGGGCAGTATGGGTACTACTACGGGTACTACGGGTCCTCCGACTCCACACATCTGCAAACGCAGCTGGGCAGCAGCGGCACCGGTGGTGCCGGTGGTGCCGGCGGTGCCGGTGGTTCCGGCGGTGCCGGCGGTGCCGGCGGCAGCGGCGCCGGCGGCACCGTCACCGGTGGCACAGGTGGCGTCGTCGGCAGCGCGGCCGCTGCGAGCGGTCTGTTGGGCCAAGCGCGACCCTTCTTCCCCTTCCGCCGGCCCACCAGCCTGACCACCCAGGGGGCGCTGCGGTGCGCAGAGAAGGGCTGCTCCACCTCGCTGGTTCTGGACTTCAACAGGACATTGGCACAAATCAACAGGCGGATCGAGTCATTCTAAATCTGGCTTGTAGAACCGTCTTGAATATCCTGTGACCGTGTAGGCATCGTAGGAATGAAGCGAGCCCTTCCGAGGTGTGTCGCCCAACTGTGGGTAAACCAGACGGACTTCGACAACTTGGACGGCGCTGTGGAGCTCCTAACGGTCAGTGTGGCTGGCAAGGAGGCCAGCTATAAAGCGATTAAAACCAGATTTTGCTTACATAGATTTGAGAAAACACATTGCTAGATTCTGCTAGCTTTCGTGAAAGAGCTCCTATTGTCGTTACGACCCCAAATACTCTCATAGTTCTGACACCCACTGGGCCCTCAAGTTGTCGCATCAGCTGATTGACCAGCCCTGTGCACGTGATCTGTTGGAGAGGTTCGCTGCCCATTCGGTTACACTTCAAGAGTTGTGTGGCCCGTCAAGCCCAACAGTCATCATCGCAAAGGAACCCCGCATCAGGAACCCTGCAAGTAGTTCTGCATCAGGTGCTTTCACAAGACAAGCCTGGGAAGAATCCGTGCCGCAGTGCATACAATGGCAAGCCGCTCACCCTCAAGGCTGGATCTAACTGCTTTGCTGAGATCTTGGTTTCGACGAGCCAAGTCAAGCTGACACTGAATTATGGCGAGCCCATGATCTTCGCAGACACGAGTGACTTTGGTTGAAGCTTCTGATCTGTTGAACAGGACATTCGATACCATGCGCTTGTGGATTTGGACGTCACGCAGGCACCGCTGATATTGAAGTATGATTCGAAAACACAGGAATTGCTGGGTTTGGGTTTAGGGCTTATGCCTTTCAGCCTGCCTTGCTGAATCGTGTGAAACCTGGGAGGCCATCAGGGATGGACCCGTCAAGTTTCTCGCGCAGATCTCAGACCAGGTGGATGAGTGTCCGAGCAATGGCTACTTGTTGGACTCGGCGCTGGAGGCGCGGTCACACGACGTCACGTGCAACCGTCAACCGCACTGCTTATTTAACCTTGTCTTTGCCCTTTGCTGAGGGCAGCTCATACTACGGAAGGTGAGCTGCAACATCTCCACGATCGGGGCGCTGTTAGAAGAGGATGAGGTGTCCGTTGCAGATGTCTTGGATTTGAACAAGGCCTGCTTCTTGGATAGTGCGTCATGTGTTGAAGCTGCGATGATCACGGCGTGCATTCAGTGCTGAGGAGCTACTTGATGCCACTGACGACGCAGAAAGAGACAAAGCCTTCAAGGATTTCTTGGACGTGGCAGCGTCAACTCAGTCCTCCTCGGATCAGTGATAGTGAACATGACAGAGCGACGTTAAGCAGCAGCTGCGCTTCATGAAGAAAAAGAGGTTTGGGCTTCGGGGAGGGGAGGCACCGGGCAAGTGCACAGTGTGAGCTTCCCGAAGCTTCTGCAAGCATAGGCGGTTCAAACTCAGATCGCGAAGCATCTTTGCGGAGGAGCTTCGAGACGCAGCTGTGGCGGTTGATGAGCATGGGGTCATCTTGCCAATGAAGCCGAAGTACTGCATGTGCCCGGGCCTTATGTGTGGTCTACTAAGTGAGAAAAAGATGAGCAAAGTGCATTCTGACAACGACGAGGCTGGAAGCTAGAAGTAGAATGAACAAAGGATGGAACATGCGCAGGGCGCTGCCGATACGACTCTCAAGTGATGCAAAAAACCCAGCACGCCACAGCGAGAAGAAAGCAATACAAAGCGAGCAAGAGCTGTTCCTGAAGGTTCTTGAAGGTCACAGAGAGACCCAGAACCGTCTTTGCGAGTGCAGAAAAGGCGGGTTGCGCAGAGTAGGCGATCTTCGGGCTGCTGATTGCAAGCCCATCTCCCAAGACATTGACGCTGTCAGCGCCATTTGACCGGGTCGAATCGAAATGTCGTATTTGCCATTTCGCAGGCTGTGCAGCTGGCTTCACATTTGGGCTCCTCCATCATCCTCATCTCCACAGATCTCTTGTTGAAAGAAATCCTCCTGCTCTTGAGGCTGGTTCATGGAGTTGGATGACAGCCCCATGAGCCGCTGGTGTCTCGACACAGCGCGCGAGTATGCATCGGGGTCGCGCAGCCTCGGCGCCGGCGAGATCCTGGAGACCTTGGAGGTGTCACAAAGAGCTTCCCTCTCTCCCTAAAGTAGAGCTTCTCTGATCACACAGCTCCTTGCTGGCTTTTTTAGAGAGGCTTGTCCTCACTTCCATGATTGCCTGGCAGGCCTGGCTTCCCACATCCGCTAGCTCACGTGCAGTGGAAAAAGGCATGGCTTTCAAGAGCACAGCGACAGGTATCGTAGGGTTTGAGGCGTTTTATGATGCCATTAGCTGCCCATGAGAGTTGCTGCGATGGCTTCAGATCATGCCAGAAGACGAGGGCCCTTGCGGAAGTGAACTACTTGCAGCTATAGCAACATCCTCCATCCCAAGCGGCATTCAAGTGTGCATTTTCCGAGTCTGAGGCTCGCTTCCTTGCCAAGCTCCACCGACGTCGCTTCGAGGCAACACGTGCAGCGCACCCTTGGGAGACGCGCGTGCAGCTTGCCAGAGTCCCAGCATGTTCCATTACCTTTGAGTGTTTTACGCAGCCGTACAGTACTTGTAAGAGAGCAGTTGCGCAACATCAATGAGAACCTAAGCCGATGTCGATAACGATGTCGGCCAGGAAACCGTTGAAGAATGAGAAGACATGAGAATATGACACCGTGTGAGGAAGTAACAAGAGTTCGAACTTCCAAACTGAAACGAAGGGAGGCAAGAGCCTTGCACTGGTGGCTGCGATCGTGCAACGATTTCTCGACATGTCTTACAAGATTGCAACATGGCGACAGGCCAAAGCCTTCGAAGTAGCATCAGCGATCAGCGTTTCTCGCTTAGCGTGGCCACCGACAAAGGTAGATGTTCTGACCAGTGACGGTCTTGCCTTTGGCGTCGGCGTCTACAGTGGTGCAGTGGAGGACCTCTTCCTGTAGGTTCTGGTGTGGGTTTTTGCGCAGATTAAGGTTCTGAAGCCCCCAGAAATCGGCAGATTCTTGCCAAATTCTCGCGTTCCTCATGCGGACTGCAGGTGTTAGCGCTTTCCTCTTGCAGCAAGGCGTGCCGGCTCAAAGATCATTACAAATTCGTAGGCTTCTTTCTGACGTGCCCATTTGTAGACTTCGTTTATCCAGCCGTCAGTTTGCAAAATGTCGTGCTCTTTTCAGCCTCCTTTGTGTTGGATCACGTTTGGATCAGATGATCCCGCTAACCAGGTAGCTGGTAGGCCCATCAAGAAAGTGCCGCGGCCCTGGGACAGCATCGTGACATGCTCAACATGCTCAACTTCGTTGTTTCAAGGCAACTCAGAACCGTGCCCCTGATGTGGCAGGTTGCCTGCCCTGAGGGCGTTGTACCCCGGGCACATCTATGTCCACGGTGGCTATGCTTGGAGCCCGGAGCTGTGGAATGTTCACGTAATCATTTTCAATTCTGATCTCTGGCAGGCTGCCACCTTGAGCCTCGAAAGGCTTATAGGCGCCATCAAGCAAGGGACCCACCACAGTCGCCTACTTTTTTGAGGCTTCCAGACCCCAAAACTCGGATGAATCTGCCTGAGCTAGTCGCACTCCTGGTTTTTGCTGGAAGGTTTGGCCCTACTTTCTCTGAATTCCGCCTTAAGTACAATCGGAAGCGGATTTGATTTGGTTTGACTTGATTGTTGCTTTATGGCCTGCCATGCCCAAGCAGCCTCCTGGCAACTATCCAGACCCCCGGCTTTGAGATCTGTCACCCGGGCAGAACCCTGTGACGACATGTGACAATCTGAATCCCGGACAGAGGGCTTTGAGCCGGGCGAGATGCCAAGCCAGCTTGTACGGCTGGGAGGGAAGAGCCATTAGTGTGAAATGTACTGGATTTGTTAAACATTGTTCTACCGGACAGAGTACATGCTGAGGATGGCCAGCGTCGCCTGCTTTCCATCGAACGATTGGCCAGCAAGCTCAGTGCTAGCATGCTGTTGTGGTTTCTTGATGGCGACGGGTGGCCTCCCCTGAGCCTTCTTTGAAGACCCTGTTGGATCGGCCGACTGTCAATGACTGCTCGGACCTACTGCTACTTGCCTTGGCGCCGAAGCGGACATGGGGCAAGGGAGGCTGTTCCTGCCGTTGTTCAGAACCGTTGTCAGTTGTAGGCGCCTTTCGGAGATTGCTGGGAGCCGCTGCCTCCAATGTCCGATCGACGAGCTGTTGCCTGGGCCCAAGCTGGGCCCTTTGTTCCTCTTCGGCATTTTGTAACACGTGTTGTAGCCGCCGAGCGCAGTCACAGAGTTTGTGCGTCCGCTGTGAGCATGACAGAGGTGGCAGCGGATGTAGTGGCCGGTAAGCTGTATGTTTGTGGCGGCTGGGATGGCGAGTGCCTCATTTGCATCTAACGCATGCCTGGTGCCGATCTCCAAGTCTCCAAGTAGCTCCCAGTGAGGTCCCTGTCGAAGGCACTTTGTCACTTGATTCATTTGTCATGGGCGAACGTCAAGCAGTATCAACACAATCTTGGCATTGATGCACAATCTTGTAAGCTAAGTACTGAGACGCACTCTGAGACCTTTGGCTGAATTCTCGCGCGTGTTCTAATCCGTGAAGACCGGACAAACAGCAACCCGACGAGCCACGGGGTCCACAGGACCCAGGGATTTCACAGGGTCCACAGGACAGGCGCAGTAGAAAGGATGAAGAAAGACCCTACAGTCTTCTGAGTCTGAAGCCCGGGGTGTGCAAGTTCAGAATTCACGAACCGTTCCCGCAAAACAGCAAAGCACATTCCCAAAATGATTCGCTCGCTCTTTTGCGGCATCTGTAGCCTGACGTGCGACGGCTTCATGCCATGTTGTCGGTTTTTCCCTTTTCGAAATCCCAGGCATCGCCTCAGCCAAGTCGAACGTCGGAGCCCCGAAGGGAGGACTCTTGAGGTCTTGGAATTCTTTGAGTGGATCTTGGGCCTTGGGTCTTTAACGGCTTGACTTTGGGCGAGGCTACAACATTGCTGCCGGTTGCTGGGAGCAGTTGCCGCCAATGCTGGAGAGGCTGTGTGTTTACCTTTGCCTGCGCTTTTGAGGGATTGGAGAGAGCTGTTCATGGAGAGAGCTTCTCCACAAAAAAGAGGCGGAGCCATCCTGCGGTTGCCACGCTCTGTGGAAAGCTCTACGTCTCCGGCGGCTTTGATGGCGCAGAGAGGCAAGACGTCGCCTCTGTTATAGTGCATCTGTCCGGTCCTTTGAGCAGCCATGTTGAAACCCAAGAGGGCGCCCAAACTTGGCTTTTCCAACCCTTTTCCTTCTCAACGTCACGAACCGCCTCAGTGTGGAGCCCCTTCTTGATTGGTGAAGCGTGGTGAAGCGCTGGCCCGTTGGCAGTTTGAGCTCCGTGGAGTGCTTTGACCCCTCCACGAGCAGCTGGTGTTGTGCGGTGGCCTGGTCTGTTCTCCGCAAGCCTGCAATCTTCGAATCTTCTGCACCCATTCCGCACGGAATGCTCCGCATGTTTCTGATCTGGTCGAGCTGGATACTGCCTGCAGCATCTTGAGTGAGCTTCGTTCTCTTAGCATTGCGTTGTCGCGCGCTTTTGGGTGTGCAACGGGGCAAATGGCAGCAGCACCCTCAGGGTGGAGAAAAAGTGCAATATTAGCCTTCCCGCTCATCCTTGACTCGCCGCCGTCGTACTGTCTCTTGAGGCGGCCCTGTCATTTCTCGTGAAGCTCCTCTTGTGTCAAGAAATGTATGCTGATATCCTGTTCAGAAGCCACGAGAACCTGGTGAAACACACATTTGTCCAGTTTACGAAGCTGTTCAATCAACGAGCAAACCTTGAAGTGAAGACCATGTCTATAAGCCTATGAAAGTCTGCAGCCACGGTCCAAGCACTTGCACGACGGCTAGAAGCTGCGACTCTAGGCAAGCAACATCAAGCAACAGCAAGCTCGGCGAAGCTCATTTTAAGGAATGATCTTCCGAGGTCTCCCGCAGATGCAGGTACGTCGAAGACGGGCTATTGCGGCGATTGGCTGAGCTGGTCACAAGCAACTCTGAACTGTTCTTGGAAGCGAGCCTCTGACATTGCCGAGGTTGTAATGGCTGCCAAGCTCTACATCTGCGGCGGCTTTGATGGTGCTACGGGCAGAGGAGAGTCTTGAACATGCGCAGCCGATCCACATCTTGGACAGAACCAACTACTTCTTGCAATGAGCTCCATTTGAAAGCATCCATGCGACTAAGGTGCTGGTCAGCTCAACTTCGCGGAGAGCTATGATCCACAGGAGAGCCTGCCATAGCCTGTCGCCTCACTCTTCAACACTTCAACATGAGCCATGTCACTGCACTGTAATTGGCGTGTTGGCGTGGCCGTCTGCATCCCGGCCACCCTTTCTCTCGAAACATGTTTAGTGTGGATGAGAAGGGCGAAGAAAGAAGGAATAGCAATAGTACTATTTGAGAAAAGGGGGATTTGAATGTCTTGGCCGGACGTGGCACAGAAGTATCAGTGGATTCACAAAGTAGGGGAGCCATGACCGCATTGGGTGATCGTGAATAGAGCGTGTGGCAAAACTCTGCGTAGAGGGAGTTGTAGTTGCCCGACATTGCTCCTGCATTGTAGCGCATGATTTGATAGTCAAATCTTCCGCAAGAGCATCCCAAAACCAGGGCAGGAGTTATCAACACACAAGAAACTCAAGAAACAGGCAGGCTCACGAGTGACTTCCTGCAGGAAACGAGGTGGGACATGCTTCCACCCATGCTGGCAAGACGCGTTGTCAGCTTGGCCCTGAGTGGAACTTCTGTGCAATCCAACTTGCATATTTCTGTGTGTATATATGTATGTATACATGTGTGTGTGTGTGCGTGTGTGCACTTGTTCACGTGCACGTGTGCGTGCATGTGCATGTGTCTGTGTCAGCCCTGATACCATGGGTTGGCATCTTTGATCTTCCGACTCAGACTGCGAGAGTTTCCGTATCGACATGTCTCAGCAGGTGTGTGTGTGTGTGTGTGCGTGTGTGGCTGAAGGTGCCGCAGAAGTTATTTGTGGCAAGCTGTATGTTTTCGGCAGCGAGGCTTGGGGAGGGTCAGCTGTTTTCGCAGGTTTCCGGAACATGGCAACAGTGTCAGAGCAACTACCAGAATCAGCCAGCTTCGCTCCAAAGATCACTTGATCGGGGGAGGGGGACTGTAGCCGAAGTGCCGAGTCTGCAGATCCTCTGATTCCTGGCAGGATGATGCCAGGGTTGTCAGCTCGGTCGAGAGCCGCGGCCTTCATTGCATCAGTTTAAAGTTGTGAGAAGACTTTCGAATTGCAACAGGAGCCCGCTATTCCAATAACGCTGAGGCTACGATCCCCGGTGTGCACTCTGGGAGGCCCTTTCATTGTTCCTCTTTCACATTGTAAAAAGTGTGCCGTTTCATGCAAGTCATGCAAGTCGAAGTGTTCGAAAGAGTTGCAGGGGTTCAGGACTTCGATCAGTTTAAGGGACAGAGGGTGGCCGCGAATCTGTGGACAACCGATGGAGAACTCTTGCCCATTGGGGGGGTCTTTGCCTGCCAGACTCGCCCTTTGTAAGATGTCTAAGTTGGACGCGGCTTGTCACAAGATGACATGGACGCTCCTCCCTGCCTCCCCGCAAATGTCGTTGTGGGCCTGCCAATGTGTCATGGCGAGTGTCAACCTCAGTCAATTCCAGCCCTTTGCTAAGCAAGAACTGTGAACAGCATAACGGTGCCAAAGATGTATCAGAGCGTCGTGCTGCATCGGCTGCATCCCCCTACTGCATTCCAAAGGATCTCTAATCGATCTGCAAGCTTCGTCACCTTCGCAGTTGCCGTCCAACTTCCGATTCTGATCCAGATTGGTGGGCTGCTGGGAGTTGTGGAAAGAGGTGCCGGTGGCTGCCAGAACCGGCATAGCCAGTTGAGAGGTGAAAAAGAACTTTGTACAGGAGTTCAGATGCATCCTTGGGCCTGATCCGCACAGGTTTTTTGTGCCTCGACCGCGTATGTATGCGAATTAATTTCTGCGTGTTTTCCTTCCGTGCAGGCAACTTGGTTGCGCAAGAAGGTGTAAGATTAGCCTGAGATCATCTAAAATCCAGCACATCTCGCATCGGTTTAGGAAGGTTTCGCTTGTGGTCGAGCCAAAACCCTGAGCTTTTGTGCGATGGTTGTCCAAGATCATTCCACGCTTATTCTTCACGGCTCAGTTGTTGAAGGCTCTACCGCCGATGCAGTCTCGTCGTGTTGGAGCCGCTGCCACTTTTCTTTCAGAATTTGGGCTGAGCTTGGTCGATCCTTGCAGACTCCATGGTGTGCTGTGAGAGTGACTGAGTGTCATTGCTAAGGCCGCTTCGGTTGCGGGCTGCTTCTACGTTTGTGGGGGATGGGATGGACGTCAGATGGCGCCCAAGAGGTTAAGCTGCAGAGCGCAATTCCTGAGTAACTTTGATATGATTCGTTTGCGGTGTCGTGAAGTTTGCTAAGGCGTCTCGACTCCGCTGAGCGATACAATCCTGCAACGGCAGCCCTTGCCTCAGGGTGCCATCAGCAGAAGTTTCATGAGAATCTCAGAACGCACCTTCGGCGCGTGAGAGGCAGCCTCGATTTCTGATGGATCATGAATCGTGTGCTAAGCTAGGCCAATGCTCTTTCTGCATCCTACATGAATGCCTTGTGGCTGTGGCCTAGGCATGGGAGGCTCTGCCGCCCATGAGTGAGAGGTGCCGCTGCTGAATCCAAGAAGAGTTGTTTCAGATGCATGTTGCATGTTGCCTCATAAGGAGAGATCGAGCTGCAATCGCAACCATCGCTGGCCGGCTTTACGTGCAGCCCCCAGGGCAGCGTTCGGCAGTTGTAGAAAAAAGGACCCAGATAAGAGGCCAATTTTCTAGAAAGCTGACCATTTAGGATCTGGTAGCTTGCAGACCTGGCAGGCCTTTCACGGGGCTGCACGGATGATCCTATCTTGAAACTCCAGGTCTGCGGAGGTTTCGATGGTGATGCGGATCTGAGGCCATCTGCATCACTTACAGTTCAGAGAACAGGATCAGTGAGTAGACATTCGTAAGAAGTCGCGGTCACGTATCGTCGCATCCTGTCGAGCGAAGGACTGCGGAATGCTTCGATCCCAGCTCTGGTCGCTGGCTGACTTTGCCCCCAATGCAAGAGAGGCACATGGAAGAGCTGAAAAGCCCTCGCAAGACCGCATGACAAGGCTTTTGAGGCAGTTGCGTTTTCCTTCCGAATACACCCTGCTGCACAGTCGCATACCACCTTGGGCACTTGGGCTCACGGTTCCCCTTGCAACAGGCGCTCCAGCGCTGTGGCGGTGGCGGCTCTCACGTAGAGAAGAAAAGCATCTTATGCCTTGCGATCTGTCATAGAATGTGGCTCGAGTTTCATATGTAAGCGTTGCGTTAATCTCTGCTCGCGCCGGCCTGCTCAACTTATCCGGGAGGTGCATGGATGGTTGCGTTCCGTGGCAGAGCACCACTGCTAGCACAATTCAGTACGAAAGCATATTTACTGTATATATATATATACGTCGTTCTCTTACCAGCAAAGGCAGGATCTTGCTGCTAGCAACGCCAGCAACATTAACGTCTCTGGACTGTATAAGCATTATTTGCACAGTCATCAAGCAAAACTTGATACATGAGACTCAGATTTGTCAGAGTAGTGGTCGGATACGTGTTTCTCTTGGGGTCGCACCCGACGGCCAAGGTCGGGGACATCTCCTCACACATCGTGTCATGCATCTTTTGACCGATTTTGAAGGACTCGGCTTTCAGAGTCGAGAACCGCTCCTCGGAGCGCCATGTCTGATGAGTGTTGCCGGCGAAGTTTACAGCACACCATCGCTGGGTCAATGACAGCGCCGAAAGCGCTTTGCACTTCAATTCTGTTCAATTCTGCACCTTTTGTTGCTGTCTCTTGCTGCTTACTATTTCATTCTTCTCACTCTGTGATGCGCTTAGACGATCTTGGACACTTCCAGGTCTGCTCGCGGGCTCCTCGAGCAGGCTTGGGAACATGTGTCTCCGCAAGTAACATTCCGTTGTTCCCTATTCGCATCAGGCCATGGTGGTGGCCTTTCCGCAGCAAGATCCGAAGGCCTGCTTACGGCTTTTTTGCGGCATGCCTTGCGCCACTTCGTGTAAGTGGGTGAGCCGACCCACTGCGGGGTGCGTTGGTTGAGTCGACCCGCCTTGGAGCTTGAAAACTAACACAAAAGCGGCGATCTGTTTTTAGGGTTGGCAAGAGACCTATGCATTGACCGGCCGTAGCTTGGCCGTGGGGAATTCCCATATTCAACTAATGTGTTTCGAGGTTGGTGGGACGGTGGGACGGTTGCGTCGGCAGTAGTGCGGCGGTTTGGACGGTGGCGCTGGAGGCTAAGGGGTTAGGTGATTCAGGATTCAGGCCCCGATCCTCCATATCATGACATTGGAGTTGCTGTCTTCGGGTTGGGGGTCCGTCCTGGAACCCAACCTCACACGGACCTCGCGACACCCCGCGTGGGCCGCACGCAGCGCCACGTTCAACACCTGTGATTGAAACTCAGGCTTTGGCTTTGTGGCGTCATTCTGCCCCGCCCCTCTAATGCTGACCTTGTACAAGTGCGTTTTCTGCTTTACAGGTTGTAAGTTATAAGTTGGGAGTAGCGCACTCTGTACGCACATCGCGTGTTCTGGCACACGCAAGGTACGTGAGTGTACTTGGGGATAGGCATGGACAGCGTGACAGCGTCAACAAATCAATCGTGTCGTTTTCTATCCACATGTAACATGCCATGCACCCTTTTTGATTCAGCGGGGTTCCGCTGGAATGGCCGTTCACTAGGATTCGTGGCACCAATGTGGCTCCTGTCAGTCATTGCATGCGTAGAGTGACTTCATTCAAATCCCACGTGCGCTGGGGGTGGTGTGACATCATGCCGCCTGGGTTGACACATCCCCGCTGCTGCTGCGAGGAATGCTGCAATTTGGATTGGATTCAACAGCTGAATCATGTGACTCTGTATATATCTGATAAATATTCCTGTAGCTTTACCTCGCAGATTGACGCAGCCTGCTTGAAGCGTAAAAGGAATTGGGAACGGCGCTGAAACCTAAGAGTGAGAACTGCAGATGAGGTCGCAGGAGAAGGAGTAGGGAATCCTCAGATGAGAAGGAGTGGAGATAGCAAACACGGCTGAGTTTCGAGATGCTTGGATCAGAGACAGAGACACAAACTTGAAACCGGTCGTGTCTAGAATCTGGAACCATTGATCGTCTAGAATGTGTTAATCACTCGCCTAAAGCTGCGGAATCCCACTGCTTCAAGCATTTCTGACACAACTTCCGGTTCAGCTTTCTTCGTGCGTCCGGAGGTGTGCCAAGTGAGCGGTGGCCTCAGAAATTCCAACTCTGAATCACGTTTTGCTATCTGCTAGCTTGCATGCTTGTCATATCTTGTCATGCTACAAGACGCAAGTAGGAAGCACATGCCTCTTTAAGCCTCGGCAAGGCTTTCGCGCCGGAGTGCCCATGCTATTTTTTCAGACAGCCGGCCTCTCTGACAAGCCCGATCAGTACGGAGCAGAGCCAAGCGAGAAGGATAAGGAAAACATTCGTGAGGCTTCTCTGGAGACTGGCCAGATGCGGTTGGGCTGCTTTCTGAGATGACCGTGCATGACCACAGATCAGCTCATGGCTTTGTAGCGCGTAGCTTGTATAAATGATGTTGGGTTTTTCAGTCCGTGTCCAGGCGAAAGAAAAAGCTTGGATCTGAGAAAAGCAGGCCTCACACATGGAGATTCGAAGACATTCGCCAAGCAACCACAGGTGTGCGGCTGTTGGGATTGGAAATGTTTGCCCGTTGCCGCAGGCAAGGTCGTGTCTGATGAGGAAAAGGCCAGACCACATGAACGTCGGCGAATAGCGTTTCGCCCCCTAAGCGTCGTATGCTTGCAGTGAACACTGACTGGAATCACTATATCGGGGTGCAGGGTATAACAGTTCATGCACGGTGGTGCTGAATAGCGTGTTCTACCATGCTGTTAATGAAGTGCTCGGGGAGCTCGTGCTATTGCGCTGTCGCACCATGACCATGTTGGTCATTGTCGTGAGATTGCGACTGCTGGGAGGATGGCAATCTCACACTTGGACGTTTATTTGAGTCCTTTGTGCAGGTGTCCATCCTCTCCAAAGCTAGAGCCGGACAGCCGCCTCATCTCATAGCTTGCTGCCCAGCGCGATGAAGCGGACGCATGGAGGATCGTGGGGGCAACGTGGGGCATGCTGGCCATTTTGTCCTTTTTGGCCTGATCAGTTTGAACAGAAGACCGCAGGTACGGTCATTTGCTCTGAGGATGCGGGCATGTGGCATGTAGCGCTGACCGCAACTGCCACATACACTGTCACGACAATGCCCAGGTTGACTTACACATTGACGATACCTCCGAGATCAGCATGTGGACGAAGGTGCGCCCTTCTAATCTATTTGTGTGTATGTGTGCGTGTTTATGCTTGCATGCGTGCGCATCTTTGGGATTTGAAGCTTTTGCGGTCCTTCGAAGTTGCCAACAACATCTGCTGTTGCGCGAGTGCTTCTACTGAGTCAGTATGTGCAATGTATGTACTGAGCGTTTTCGGAGAGTTTTTCGCGAGTGAGAAATAATGAACGCAGGGAAGGAGTCTTTGTCAAAGTGCAGAGGCCCTCCAGACGGTGCTGAAGGGCACGGAGGCGCTCGCCCAAATTAGCTCCGCACTGACAAACAAGGCTGAGGCCAAGGCTGAGGCCAAGGCTGAGGCCAAGGCTAACCTGTAGCCGCCAAGGTGCATTAGCTCTTGCATGAGCTTTTTGCATTTTGCAGATTGACCCCTGTGAAGCTGTGAAGGCTACTCAAGATGAGACGCAAGGAGGCCGAGATGTGCAATGTTTGGCAGTCGCGCTTTGTCGCGCTTCCAAGTTCGCCGAAAGGTTGCATGCTGGCTTTTCCTCATGCCCAGCGAAGCACCACTTGCGCTGCAGTTCATTCTTGGACTTTGCTCTTGCTTCGGCTTCTTTTGCAGGCGATCGCTTGAGCCCAGCGTCACAGAAGCCCGACACCAAAGTGCTCAAATGAAGTGCAACAAACCTGTGTGCCGGGTGCGCCCAGTGGCACCGAAGCAGTTCTCTTGCAAAGTCTGTCAGCGCTGAGGCAATCCTCTGCAATGCCCTCGGCAAGGTCACAGGCTCGCCCCACAAGTTCGAGCCGACGGAATGCGGGTTGCCTTTTGAACTCCCATACGTCTAAACATCTGATGCCTCCAAGCACAGCCTCTGCACAGAGGCATCCTCGGAGGTCGAGGCTGGTTACTTTGTTTTTTGAGGGCGGGAGTGAGTGCAAGGGGCGCAGGTGCAGAGTTGCAGGTGCAGAGTTGCAGTTGAGCTTCTCGGCTGGTGAGACTCAGGAGGAATGCGTGCTGCTCCGTGCGAAGAGCGACTCGGTTTCGTTATGTATCTGTACCGAGCGAAAAAGCTCCAAAGCTGCCTGTAGGCGAGGACGTCCAGGCTCATTTCTATGATCACAACCTGACCCCCCAGTCCCCAGTCCCAATGAGCTTGGGAGCTGGTGCCCGGCTGCTTCTGTTGCGCAGCCAACATAAGGCCAGAAGCTTCAGCAGCGAATCGCTGGTCTTGAGGTGCAAGCTCGATACAGTAGTCGCAGCACGTCGTTTGTTGCATTTTCCTTGCAGTAAACACCATCTCCGTCTCCAGAACTCTCCAGCTACCTCCTTTCCTCCCAACCCGTTCATACTTTCATACCAATCCATCTCCATCTCCCCAAATATCCCTGAGTCGATTCATAAAGCAGGAAATGGTATAGGCTGTCTCCAGGAGATCAGCGAGCGCCGTGAGAAGCAAATGAAGAAGCTCTTGAAGCAGAGCCCTTGGAGCGCACCCGGAAATCGATGCTGAGATGCTCAGGATGAGAGCAGACTCTAAGACTCTAAGGCGCCTCGACGGAGCCATGCAGATGCTGGATGCCTTACAGGACTTCTGCAGAGTCTTTCTAGCGCTCCAGCAGATAGCAGTACCATTTTGCCTCTCATTGCTCACGTGTGCTCACATGTGCTCGCACGTGCTCGCAACGTCGCAGTGCTTGCCAAAACTATTCTTGAATAGTTGCTTTTTGGGGCAGCAACATTGCAGGACATGTGTGGGCAACAGCGCAAGGTGCGCGGCCTGTGAAATTTTTCGTCAACTGCACTCAGGCACTTTCAGGGCCCTCCCTTGACGATGCCAAGGCTAAGGTGTTGCAGCCCTCAATGCTGCTGGTAAGGCTATGAAAGGCTCTTGCCCGAACTGAAGCCCTTTTCAAGCGTGGGACCGGACGTCCTGTAGTCCTAGACGGCCCTTGGATGGTTCCTCATTAGATGCCTTTAGTTTCAGGTTCGGAGTAGACTGTTTATGTTTCTTGTGCCGGAGCTGCTTACATAGAAGTAGGCTTGAGAGTGTTGAAGTGAAACGAGGAAAGCAGTTCCAAGCGCTCAGGTGATTTCGGCGCAGCAGATCGCCATCTTAGCATTGAAGGACGAAGGTGCGGTGGATGAGGCCTGTATTTTAGCCTGCATTTGTTGAGAATCACCGATCTCCTGAGTTGCTTCATCCCAGCAAGGATGCTTATTTCGGGCTTGCAAGGCTGAGGCTGAAGAGGAGGAGGACGAAGATGACGAGGACGAGGTTGAAGAAGCTGAGGAGGAACAGGCTGAGGTTCCCTGAGTTCCCTGAATTCCCTGAATTCCCTGAGTACATCTGCTTGGTGTTGCTGACGCTAATCCCTAGCAGCGGAAAAGAGTCGGTGACAAAGTCACTGCTGGATGCAAAGCTGATTCGAGGTTCCCTTGGGGGCCGGCGCGCGGCCCATGCAGCCCTTCGATCCTGAGGCTGTGCCACGCATCTGCTCGTGCCGTCTTTCTCGTGGCGTCTCGCGCCACCGTTCCGTGCGCTGGGACAAGCAGACCGGCGAGAGCGAGACAAGCTTGAAATCCTGAAAAGTCATTGGCTTCCTGAGCTGCCTGTTCTGCGCGCTGAATCTTGAATCTAAGAGAGCTGCTAGGCTCCGGGCAGTCAGCAGCAGATCATGGCCTTGTTGAAACAGGTGCCTTGGTTCTTGTCACCCCGGCAATATGGATTGTGTATGTATGTTCGTGTATGTCGCTTTTCTTGCCGGAGCAGGTCGCTTTGCAATCTGGCGATGTCACGCGAAGTCAGTACGGTTGGGCCTGTCAGGCTGATCAGATGGAGCGTGCGCTGCGGCAGATTGAGGCACGACCTGTGAGGATTGGATGCTGAATGAGGCTGCACAATGTCTGCCAGCGAGCTGGACCGGTTGCCCCGCTCCAGTTTGCGCGTCTGGTGGGAAAGGCAATGGAGAGCGCTGGCCTCCTGAACGAGGACTTTATGCAGGCAAGTTTCTGGTCTTGGGGCAAGGCTTGTTTTTTTTAATGTCTCGCTTCTGTCGTAAAGGCGGGCTTGAGGTGGCTGGGGGTATTTGGGCTGTGCTGTGTTGTGTTACAAGGCTTCAAAGGTCCGCAAAGGGACAAACACAGCTTGCTACGCGTTTCTTTTCAGTTCTTCCCCACTCGGGGGCGTGGGGTTGTCAGGGGCTCAGGTCTCCGAATCCTGCGGAGAGTCCGGCGATTACCCAGGAGTGCTCACCCCCAGAGAATCCTCACAATTCCGCCGAGTATCATCGAGTATCCCTGGAGTGACCACTGGAGTGCCCACCATAGAATCACCGAGTACCTCTGGAATGCCCACCCCCAGAGAATCTCGCCGAGTATCTTGGGAGTGCTCAAACTTAGACAAACAATCCTGCAGTGAATCCTGCCGAGTATCCCTGGAGTGCCCGCCCGCAGAGAATCCCCACAATGTCCACCCCAAGTTCAAGAGAGCTTGAAGTGCTGTGTCCAGACATGAAATACAAGTAGCAACCGCGACAGAATCCTGCCACGAAGTATCCTTGTCTCACAAATTTCTTGCCCGAGACTGCTCCACATGGGTTAGGGTTAACGACTAGTGGCTCAATCCGAGGCTTGCGTTCGATGGAGATAGTTGAAGTTAGTTCTGAAGCGGGCTTCTTGGGTGCCCCAGCGATCCCCCAATAGGGTCCGTTGGTGTATAGGGGGTCGTAAAGGCAGTCCTAGGGACCTCCTACTTTTGGACAAAAGCCTTGGCAGGGAGTTCTCTAGCGAGGGGATGAACGGAAGGAAGGCAAAACTCCCCCATGATACTCGGCCAGAGCAGAGGCGAACTCCAGCTGGTTCAGTCCTACTTCTCTCTTTGAAGCCCCCCTCTTTTACATTAAACGGAGTCCCCTTCGGGCTCCCCCCAACCAATCATGTCTGCAGCGCAGGATGGACAGGGCGCCGAGGAAGGTGCCCTCTTCAAACACCGGACCTCTCAGACATGTGTGAACAGTGCGCTGGTTTTCTGTTTCTTGATTCCTTCCTTCAATTCTTCCTTTGCTTCTCCACTTCTATTATCCACTACCTGTGTAGTTCCGTTGCATCCGAAAGCATCGCCTCGCCAAGTACTACGGCCCTTGAGACCCGCCATGTCTTGCAGGTGAGTCTGTGGAGGACGCCAAAGAAATCTTGTCGTTTCGGAGAGAAGGGTCGAGCAGTCTTTGGTGGTATGTGTCTATCGTTCTCGGTTTGACACGATGCTCGTTGAGGAAATTCTCAGCCGCTTCAACACCTTGGAAAAGGACCCCGTGTCTTTCAACGACCCTCGTGCAGCTTGAGCTTTACTGTACATAATTCTCTGCGCTTGGCGGTGTTCCTGCTCGTGCACTGGCAAGACAGGAGAAGGCCAAGTTTGAGGAGATGGTAAGGCAGGCTCAAAACGGGAGGCCGCCCACGTCGTGAGACTCTAGCGGATTCTTGCGGCTTCTAGTGCGTTTCCGTGACATGCTATAGATGTGCATGCGAGTCGGTGCCGCACATCCCAAGCCGATCGCAAGAGTTCCCCCATCCTCGCACTCCTTGCTGTCAGGTCAGCCCATTGAGCGTGTGAGGGACATCAATAATCATCGCAATGATCTCATGCCAGCATGTCCCAACAAAAGGACATGTGGGAGAGCGGTCTGAGGAAAAACAGAGGGATTAGTTGGTTTTTTGCGAGATGCCCCTGGCAGAGTTCATTGCAAGCAGCACGAACGCACAAGCACAAGAGAAGAGTACGCTGCGCCGATTGGACTCGCAACGGCTCTCACAAAATATACGCCATTTGCAGAAAGTTGCTCTAGCCAGCTGCAGAAGCAGATCATCTAAGTAGATATCAGCCCTCGCATGCATTCACCAAGGTTAGTGGCATGTGGCATTTTCCAACCCCTGCGCAAATTGCTTGACGGGCTTCGCTGTGCTGGTAGCTATCCACCGTCAGCCATGTTGGCGCTCACGATTTCCCCGGAGGCCTTAGGCAAGGAAATGCAGCAATACAGCACGAAGACACTTTCACACTGCGCATGTTGCGACAGGCTTCAATCGATCTGCAATCTTAGTCTAACTACACACTGTGACTGATCAGATGGCTTTCACATGTCGGTGGCTTTTGAAGGCTGCACGCGCTGCACCCCGTCGATGCAGCTGCACGCGCTGCACTTGCAGTCAGTGCCGTCGCTGGCGTCTCAGTCCCAGCGCTTGGACGCCTCCGCCGGCTTAAGCACATTGCCCCCGACGCCGGAAAGGCCAATCGGCCAATCTCAGGGTCTGGGTGGGGGAGTGGCCTATGACATCCTGCGACTAATGAGCTAAGCCCGAAGCTTGTTGCAGGCTGAGGCCGCCTGCTTCTCAGTTCGCTGTCTCAGCTTGGCGCGGAGGCTCAGCCATGGATCAGTTGCCTTCAGTGTCCACCACACCAGTCATCTTTGGCTCTCAAAGCTTGCGAACATTTGCGAACCGTATGCAAGCTTGATGGCTGGCCAAGGCTCGCGGTCTTCGGGGCACTTTATCAACGCACACGTCCACTGCGGCGACGACACCTGCTGGAGGTGGGCAGAGCAACATCACCGACAAAAGCTGACATTCTTGTGGCTTGATGTGGCTTGCAGTTGCGGCTCGCTCCCGCGGCTCCCTCGCAGTTGTGGTGGAGCGGTTGTTTTAATCTGCCACAAGACGTTCTTCTACCCCCATGATCCATCGGCCACGCTGCGTGCACACACACACACACAGCTTATCAGCAGCTACTGGTTGGATTCACGATGCACGTAGCACGTCTATCGGAGCCCCGATCGAGCTGGCTTCCTTTTTGTCCCAACAGCAAGCTCAAAGCGAGCGCATGTCGTGTCAATGTGGAAAATGCAGAACTCGTGTAGGCATCGGTCCAACACGTGGTCTTCGTCGGTCGGAAGATTGCTGACGGCAGGCCTTCAAGGTCGACAGCGCAAGCTCCGATTCAGGCAGGGGATTTCCAGCCAGATTGGGCTCTAAAGTAACTTACTCGTAGTGTCGTTCGACATGTGTGCATGCAAGAGTTACAACTTAAACTTAAAGCGCCTTTGTTCGAGCCTCATGCGTAAGAGTAGTGGAAGAGTGACTTTGGCTTCGAAGCATGAAGCAATCGGAGATGCATGGCATTGCATACATGGCACACTGAACAGCACTGGTGGACAGAACCGTAGCTTCTTGAGAGTGCCATACATAGATCCTCGATATTGTGTGTACCAGGCAACCACATGCTTCCGGGCTCCTCAGCCAAATCTCCTCTTGTCAGATGCTGCAGTTCTTCTGGGCGAAATCCTTGGCGTGCTGCGGAAAGCGAAACGACCCCTTCAGTCACCTGCACGCAGTAAATTGGCATGAAAGAATCGTATGGCACACTATGGCACCATACTAGTAGAGGGATAAACTACGAACTTATGACTACTTCAGACTCTAGGCCTGGGTGTGTGTGTGTGTGTGTGTGTGTGTGTGTGTGTGCGTGCGTGCGTGCGCGCGCGCGGGTGTGTGTGTGTGTGTGTATGTATGTGTGTGTGTGTGTTTGAACCTAGAAGGCATTGTTGGCATGATTTTGGGGATTCAGTTGCTTGGATCTGGTCATTTTGTTTGCTTGCGGTTCTTGGCGCGCCGAGTCTGACGGAGCTCGGGTCCGCCGTGGAATGGAGTGTGGAGCGCCGGCAGAGGCACGGCCGCTTCGCCTCCTTCGTCCGGAGACGCGCCGCCAGCACTCTTAAGGCAAAATTTCAAAACAAACCCGCAGAGCCCGCATTTTTGCCCGGTGTGGAAGATCTGAGTGAATCCGCATGTTGCCAAGCTGAGGACAGCGGGAGCTTTGGGTGCCACTCAGAGTGAACAGAGCTTGTGCCCGTGCGTCTTTAGCTGCAAGCGCTTGAAAACGCTTTAGGTCTGGGGGCGTGGTTGGTGAGGCCAAGCTACGATCCTTGGGAAGAAGATCAGATGATGCGCGCCTAAAGTACAAAATATAGTCGAAAAAACACACACACACACAGAGACATGTCTTCAATTAGAAGATGTCTCCAGGTATCTCCAGGTGCCGTTTCTCCAGCTTAGGCGCCTGGCCGAGTGGCTGCCAAGCCCGGCCGTTGACCGAGCTTCGGGCCCGGGTCTAAGATGTGCTCGTGAAGAAAGCGAGAACACGCGCGAGCGTGTGGTCAGCGAGCACATCCGCACATCCTCCGAGGTAGTGGAGCTTTTTTCAGGCATTGGAGGTGAGGGCTGAAAAGACTAGCCACGCTGCCGTTGGATGGGTCCCATATGTCCCATGACTGACCAATCTGACCTCAAACCCATTGCCGCTTTGCCGTGATGCCAATGCGCCGCTGCAGGATTCCGAGCTGCATTCCACCGCGCATGTGCCATGGCAGGAGCTGGGTTTCCAAGCTCAGCATCAATCATGCAGACGATTGCAGAAGGGATCATCATAAGGGCATTCAGAGGCCTTGGCGAAGATGGCGCAAAAGCTCACGCACAGAACCTGTGTGAAATTTGAGGGTCTGAGCTCTCCGGGCTGGATTAGGCGTCGTTGGCGTGCGTCGTTAACCCCTGCAAGCGCGAAACGCCGTTGAAGCTTGCCCTTGTAGGCTTGAGGCTTTTCGAGGTTTGAAAATGACGTTGTTGCCAAAATTGGTCTTTTGCTGTGAGTTGTCTATATACAAAGTGCTTTGATAGTTGAGGGTCTGCAAAAAGTTCTCGATTGACCCCGACACACCTCAACAACGCTTCTGTATCTTCTGTGCAGCTCTCGAGATCGAAGCGCAATTCTCGCGAAGTAGGTAGCGCACAGTGCGTGGTCTTAAGATGTCTTAAGACAGTGTCTTCGGGAAAAGGGCCAGGACGATCCCGAGACGTTCCGTACAGAGTCCCGGAGTCCCGGAAACAATTTGAAGAACGCAATCTGGCCCTGGGCCATCTTGGCCCCATTCGTCAGGATTCCCCGTGGATGTTGGCGCACCGAAAGAATGGATCAACTTTGAGGCCTCGAAGCTGGCAAATGAGGCCTCCAGTGCACCAACCTGAGCAGTACTAATCACTATGCCTCCCGGGATGCTATCCCCACGTCATGCGCAAAGTTGTGGGTCTGTGCTTCTGAGTTGTGCGTGGCTGGGGAGGTCTACAGCAGCAATTTCGGAGTACCATATGCTCCTTTGCTGCCAAAAGATGTTCGTCGACTTCAGCCTAGCGAGGTGCGATCTGGAGAACTGACCGCTGAAGATCTGAATCCTTCATTTCAAGACACATTGAATCCGTAGCTCTGACGGATTCTGACGGGAGGTAGACTTCGCTGATCTTTGGATTCTGTCTCCGCGGCACAGCTGCATGCCATGAAAGGTGCCCGTCATCAGTGAAAGGTGGCGGCTTTTCTCCTTTTCCGTGACATCTGTGCATATCTTTGCTGCTTCGGACTCTGCTTACATGCTTGCATCCAGTTTCAGGCCTTGCCAACCTTACACGCGCCTGGGCCGCCGCGCAGACTTGAAAGATCGACGGGCGCTGCCTCTGCAGCACCTGGCATCGTTCGGCCCCGAGGCTCTGCCAAGAGCAAAGAGAACAGATCCCAGCCTAGCTCATTGTATTCATTGTGAATTTATTGTCATATATGCGAAACAAGGTTTAAAAACAAGCATGTGTATACACGTGTAGTCATGTGTATGCATGTCCTTTATCCTGCAGCAGCACATGCACTGCACGCGGCCTGAGGCTCCTGACACAGCTTGAACAGCCACCTCAGGCCGGCATGAGAACCCCAAGCAAGACGGCATCGTACTCTACCGCACACTCCTCGAGCCAGGCAATCCTGCTGGAGAACGTGGTGGGTGCGGCACTGAGCCTTTAAAGGGCCTTTGGATTCCAGGTACAGCCTGCCGTCGGGATCCGTTGGGTTCAGCGGATTCCTTCAGCTGACCAGAATGCAACCTCAGTGGCAATCAACGCCTTGCGGGGCTGCATACATGGGCTTGAAGATCTGCAAATAGTTTCTTGTGGCCTTTCTCGCCAGAGAATCGAGTGAACCCAACGTTGTCAACAGCAAACTGCAGGCTTCGAAGCGTCAGAATCCTTCAGCATGATCACGCAGGTTGGTGCACCTGCAGCGCCTCATCATGAGCTGCTTGAGGGGCAGTGAGTACGGACAAGTGACTATGAGCATGCTAGGCAGGCGTCTCCTTATCACAAGCACCTTTCCAGTTGCGAGGCCTTGCTGAAGGCCCACTTCGAGGTTCGTGTGTTTCAGTTGAGCCCACTACAGCTGGGCAGCTTCGACAGAAGCTTCATGGCCAGCCCACGGGTTTCTGCGCATTTAAGCTGTGATGGTTTGTCAACCACAGATATTTTCAGAGAGAATCTCACAGCAGCTGAGGGTGTCAGATTTCTCAGATCCTCAGGTATCCCGAACCGGCGGCCACGAATTTACCTCCTGGCACGGCAGTCTGAGGAGCCCAAGGTGCAAGCACTGGAGGAGGACTCAGAACCTTCTTCTTAGATGTGCTTAGATGTGCTTTGATGTACTGAGAAAACCACCTCAACATCCCACGTCCCTGCATGCTGGAAGGCCGCGTCCTTTCCTGCACGTTGCATTGTCAGAACAGTTTGCAGTTTGCATCATGACTCAGTGTGCTGTTTACTTCAGGCGCGGTGAGCGTGGCATTTGCACGCATTTGCACAAAGAGCCTTGCTCCTGAGCTATCTGGTGGTGAATGACGGTGAGTTGTTGCGGCCTCTGATTTACCTGTGGGCCGGTAACCCGTTTCTCGAGCGAACTGTATATCCTTAACCCTAACACTGACCAAACACCGACAGCCGCCAAACATGACTAATCGCCGTTCTTCGCACGGCGAAAGTTAGAATAGGGTTGCCAGACATTGACCCGCAACTCCACCAAGTTTTTTTGACATAGACAAAATGATGTCAACGCAGAAGCCTGCAGGTCCATACACCTGAGCCTGCCGAAGCGCCTGCATTCCTTCCAAAAAAAGCAAAGAAGTCTTGTTGGCGCTTAACTGGCGCAGTGATTACTGTAGGTGCATTGCTCCCTGCAGAGTCAGATTTTCCTTCCACACGGACACACCATCCCGAGCCGTTGTTGGGCTTTTCTGGGTGGGTGGACAGCGTGAGGACTTTCCAGGCGCAGCAACTTTTCGAAGGGCATCACGGCCATTGGCGGAGTATTTGCAGCGAGATGAGGAGAAATTCTGGGAACCTTCCGCAGGGCATCTCATCAATTGAGCAGCGAATTGACCTGCAATGTGCTCCAACACGAGACTCTCCTGGTTGGTGAGATACTGGTGACCTAATTTCTGCATCGGCTGGTTACTGTAGGAGCTAAACTATTGTGTCATGCGCAACAAAATTAGCAAAACTTGGGGCCCCGCAATCCCGTCAGCAGATGCTGGATAAAGATGCGTCTCTGACATTCATATCCTCCGGTGAGGACCTGGATCCAGCCACGTGTTCTGTTCCGCTCCGGATGCTTGAGCTTCTGGAATCTCGAAGCCAGCGCTGGGAGGCTCGGGCCTTATAGCTGCCCACCGTGTGAGTTGCACTGACTGCCCAAGTGGCGCTACACTCGAAGAAGCATGCCGCTGCTCAGGGCTGTTTGTTGCATCGGTGATAGGAAAATATAGGAAATTAATGATCAGGAAGCGCTAGATGTCTAGGCCGCTTAGGGTCCATCGTCAGGTGTGAACTTCGAGACCCAACTCCGAACCCTACGTAGTCGGGAAACCCTAGCAGAAACAGTGCAAATTAGCATTGCAGGCAGGGAAAGGGTTAAACCCAACCCCTTGCATCCCTTGCAGACACCGAATGAGTGGAAGTATGAGAAGGTATCGTATGGGACGGTATCGACCGAGGTGCTAAGTGATGCAGTCTTCACCCTCAAGATGAGTCCCGCCTGCCTTGCTTTTCCCTTCCCTTGTGCAAAGTCTGCAAGACTTTTGCTGCTGAACTGTTCGACGACCCTTCACGATCGAACCAATCGTCCTCCCCCACGCCCTCCCCTTCCCCCCCTTGTCCACGCCTCCCCCGCGCCCTTAAAGCATCATTTTGCGGCATGTTTTTTCGTGTTCCGCATGTTGCTGCTCCTCAGCGCTCTAGGTGGTGACTCCAAAGAGTACGAGCTCATCCACGTTCACAGCAGGCCAATGAAAGCACCGCAAACGCAAACACTAGATGAATGAGACTTCCAAATTAGCAGAACCCCAATCACTGAACTCTTTATTTGAAGTAGGATGGCTCAGCATTTAGTGCGAGTAGTCTTCTGGGGATGTTAATAAAATTAGTGACAGTAGTCCGGCAACAGAAGCTCAATTGACATCCCACCTTATTCGGCATCTTTCTGATTCTTGTTTAGTGTGGCATTGTTCATGTCAGCAATGTGTATTTTCAGGGTAAAAATCGCCGTTCTCTTACACTCTTGATTCACTAAGATTCGGTTAGCGTTGTAACTAAGTTACAGTGGCATTGGCACGAGCTTATGGAGCATCAGCTAGTTTTGCCGGGTACTATGAGTCAGGACAGCACTTGCAAAAACAACAAAGCTTGGCAACCTTTCCTGCTGTTTCGATGAGATTTCAATCGAACTTGCTATGAGCAAGTTTTCAGCTGACAAGCCTCCAATTGAGTTGTATGAGGAGGCCAGTAGGCTTTTGCGGTTGTAACAGATGCCAGCTGAAGATGAATGTTCACATGCAGCTATCATTTTTCATGACAGGTATTGGCCGCAGGGTCATGGGTAATCCATGTAACGTTGAGTTGCAATTCCAGTTAATAGCATTCGAATATCTGCTTTGGAAAGCTATCTGGACCTTATACGAGGAGTGCGCCATGGATGCGATGTCAGAAGGGGTTGTGATTTTCTCGTTTAGAATCCGAATTTGTATGTATAATCTCTATATATGTATACAATATATGTATCTAGTTTTTTTCTGCGAATTTTTGAGAACGTCTACTGTAGCGGTTGGAATGGATGCGTGGTGGAAGCCGAGGTAGCCACCAACATGACCCTAAGAAGTGGGACCCCCAACAGAGCCTGTGGTTTGTCCACGCTTGGCAAGACGGTAGGGTCAAACTTTGGTCAATCTGTGCTTTCCAAGTCCCTGCCTTTAGTGGGAAGTACAGTGCTCGATCGCTAAGACTTCGTCATTGCGTGAGCACGCAGTGACAATGCAGGCTACACCACTACTTGCTTTGAAGCTTATCGATTCGGACCTCTTCTGGCAAAAGATGAAGGCAGGGAGGCTTGGAGTCTTGTGGAGTACTTCGGGTAAAGCGGCTCTGCTGGAAGGTGGTGGTGAATACGACGAATGCGACGAGTGTCGTCCAGTCATGCTTCCTGGTGGCCGCGTGAAGCGTCTGGTGATGCCTGGCGAGGCCGTGAGGCCACCAGGGTTGGCCGCAAGTTTGTCCGCTTTTGTCGTCCTCTATGTTAAAGATGCCGGCTGCTGCTGACGATGGTGACGACGAACCACATCGCCGATGCGTGACAAGACACAGAAGAGTTGACAAGAGAAATCGGTCGGGAGAGGTCCAGGGAAAGTTCGACAGAATGATCAGACGATCTTACAGAGGAAGACAGTGAGAGTGTGAGAGCTATCATGATACACACACACACACATATCCATAAATGTTTGCTCACATCCCCGCCATGACATACCGGCCAGGCGATAGGTAGCGAAAAAACACATTGTTTACATATGTGTCATGTCTTTGGGCTACTGTAGACTGTAGACTGTAGACAGAGCCTCAACATTCGCTCACGGCTTGCGGATGTGAAGGTCTTGGGGGGGGGTGGGTTGGGGGGTGGGGGGGGCGGTTATATATGTATATAGTCGCGCCCCATCATGTCATAGAAGTTGCCAAGGCATCAACCCACTTGAGCCGCGCAGCAAGCCATGCTGTGATGATCATGGATACCGATGATGATGAGACTCTGAGATTCCGGGTTGGTGATGTGAAGTAGCTGTTAAGTTATGCAGCCATTGCAGGATACAGAATCCTGGTGCAGGTTCTTCACTCCTCACGAGCTTCTGCAGATCGCCGGCTTCCCTTCCAGCTTCATCTTCCCCAGGACCGTCACACCACACCAGCGCAACTTGGATCCGCCTGTTTTTGCTGGGCGGTCTTGACTCTCTGTTGAACTGCGCGGGTTGGAAATGAGGTGAAATGAGAAAAGGCATGGAATGCATGTAGGGGTACTGGTAGTACCCAGTAGGATTCCTGACAAGCAGGACCCCTCCCTTAAAGGAAGAGCTCCCATGAGTGCCATATGTGCCCTTTGCGACAGCGGTAGCAAGCGCGACGTACGGCTTCAACCGGCCACCAAGGTTACAAGCTCATCGGTGACTCGGTAAATGTCGACGTGGTCGCCCAGCTGCTACGTTTTATGATCTTTGAGTGGACAAACCTGGGCCTCGAAGCTTGTGGGATGTAGGATGGAAGAATATGAACTCGTCACCTGTGTGCAAAGATCGCGTCCGGTGGCGGCAGAATGGTGCTGCTGTTCTACCATTTCTATCTGATAATGAGTGCCTGACTCTTAGAGGGTGTGACCCTCCACGGCGTCTGCGAGTGCAATGAGAAAGCATCAAGCTGCACAGTTATTCAGTGGTAGTGGGAGGTCGCCAATGACCAACAGTTGCCAATGAGATGTGTCGTGTGAGCACAAGCTAGTTCTGTGCAGAGCTTGATTTCAGAAGCGCTTGCTGCCCTTGAAGTTCGGCTCAAGGCCGGCATGGAACATGCATCTACGCATTTGTCTCCTCATCTCCAAATTTGTTATGTTGAAGGAAGCAAACCACAAGCAAAAGGCAGAGCTTGTAGTGGGGCAAGGGAGCTCCGACTGCGCGTTGGAAGCCTTGTGCAGCACTACTGGCGCCGGCATCTCAGTCTGGGACACGCGACAGGCCTTGCAGACCTCGCTCCTCAGTCTTTGGGTGTTGGATGACAGAAGATACTGGGCCGGAGCTTGATTAGGTTTGAATCGCAGATCAGTCAAAGCAGCGCATTGGCAGAGTGGCAGACTTGTTGTGACGCTCTAGTGCCCAACTAAGGTGACGGGAACCCTTCAGGTGCACAACCATGGCAGAGGACGGGACATGGAAACACGGAAAATCAGACCCGCGATGATTTGCGTTTTCAAGAAGCGATGCGAGGAAGCGCTGCGGCCCCGCAAGGTCTTCGTAGCATTTTCGTAAATCTGTCAAGTAACTTCTCGTAGGGAGGCTAGACTCCGAAAATCGCGACTCGTAGGCTTTTGCAATATCTTGAATGGTGGACCACGATTTTCGATTTCTCTGGGGTCTGAAGAAGGCGGCGAACCCGGCCTTGGTGGTGAAGACACGCAGCCAATGCCCTGGTCAGACTGGATTTCCGTTCGTTACATTCCGACATCAGAGTTCTTCCATGGGTCGATGCCGGATATGCTATGCTAGCTGCAACATGATGACCATCATTTGTACAAGCGTGTGCATTACGGAAAGAGCTTCAGCTCGCGGAGGCTCTGTTTCGAGGTACATCCAAGCTTCTGAGTTGCTCTCTCAAATATGCTGGCTCAAGCCATCACAACAATGACTAAGACTACCGACAGCGCCACACCAACAAAGCGTTGCAGCCCTGACCGAGAGATGGCAACAGCTGCCGCAACTGCAGCAACGCGTCGGCTGAGTCCTAACATGCCCGAACCCGGACACACAGCTTCTAATGCTCCATCGAAGATCAACACACACACACAGCCAAAAGCTGATAGTGAGACTCACAGGTGCCCATCTTGACTCGGATCCGAAGATGAGGGAGCTCAGACATTGCACAAGGAGAGGGCCCGCATCCGAGGTGGCCTCTTCACCTTTGTTCTCAATCAGCTCGACTTCTCAATCTGACCGATGCGGGCTCAAGTCATGCATCACCATCGCCACGGAGCCAACGTCATTTGGAGAGAACGCATGTCTACTTTGCATACCTGCAACAAGATTTTCTCACTTGTGGTTCACACGAATCGCCATGGTGGATGCCTGCGAAGACGAGCAAACAGCACTGCTGAGGAAGCAACTGAGACTGGCACTAACATGCAATCCCGCTTCAGATGGAGGGTAGCTTTGGGCAGTGACTGGGAACACAGGCTGCAGGGATCTAGGGCCGGCCAAGGTACGTGCTGTCCCGAAAGGGCGAACTGGAGCAATTTGCAGATGCCGAGGACGTGCCTCAAGAATAGACACGACGCCCAAAGATGAGGTTGGATGAACTGCGCAAGTTCGAGAGTTTCGCAAGGGGAGTTGCTGTGTTTTTTGACATGTCTTTCGTTTGGCAAGGACAGCGCCTTTGGCCCGCACTCCGTGTCACCGTTTGTACCGTGTGCGCCTGGACGAATCCCGTATGTGCTGCAGGCCACAGCATTGCTATGCAGGTATGCAGTGTTCAAAGGTTCACAGAAGACAATGACATTCTCTTCCAGAACCACCATCACAAAAACTTACAAGATTTCAAGATATACTGTACCCAATCATAGTGCGTCAATGCAGCTACACATGTGCAACTTGCACAACGTGCGCAGTGCTCCCGTCCTTGGAGGCAGCTCGGCTCGGGCCTGAGGCACGCATGCTGCCCGTCTGGGCACGATGCATCGTCATGATTCGTCATGATATCATGTGTGAAGTAATGTCAGCTATATCTGACCATCTCTGTGTCCTGGGACTGCACGGTGTGCTTTTCGCAGGACGTCCTGTGGGACTTGGGCTGTGGAGATGGCGTGGTCCTCATTGAGGCACCTGCTAAGACCCTGCGAGAGGAACAGTTGTCCTTTATCGACGGCCTTCGTTTGCATTGCAGTCATTTGCAGTCTGTTGGTCTAGCAGTGGGGCTTCAGTGTTGAAGCTTCGGCATCTTCCGAGGTCTGCATGAGGCGGTCAAAGCTCCTGCATGCTGATGCCGGACGTTGGTCCTGGCAAGCCCTCAACAATAACTCCACCTGAAGATGCCCAGTTTCGCCCCGTACCATGTGATTCGCTTGTTGCTTTTGATCCCAACCATCCTCTCCTCTGCTGCATGTCTACAGCACTCTGCCAGCCTCGGCACACCTTCACCAAAGTAACTTCAATCGTGATGCTTGCCCTCGTGGCATTTGGTTCGAACCGCGCGTTCTTGGAGCGCCTTGCGCCCTACAACAGTTACTGGCGTGCGCCAATGCCCTCATGCGAAACGCCCTTGTGAAGCCGAGCTTGCTTTAAAGTTCAGATTGAATACATTTGAATCTGCTGGCCAACTGCAGCTAAAGAGAATGCATTTGCGCCATGCAAGAAAGGAATAGGTAGGCCGCTGTTCATCTTTTCGTCCGCATAGGCGGCGCGCCGCTGTGGCTGCCGCTGTGTAGGGTTGGACATCGATGGGCCGCCTAGGGCTCAGCTATGCTCAGCTTCGGTTTGCAGTGTGCGCCGCCAATGCTATGACGTTTCCCGATCACAGTGCTTTAGGGCTGGAACAGAAGGAGTGCTGCATGTGCCTTTGTCAAGTTTCACCTTTCATACCAACCTCAAAAGTTGTGCACATGCCCCGATTCCATATGAAATCGCGCGGTGGAGAAGCCGGGTGTCTGTGTTTCGTGTGACAAGGTGCATTGCCACGGCAAGACAGCGTGCCAGGGAAGCCAATGTCGAGGCCTGCAGACAGAAGACCCCATAATCAGGGGATTTCACTAGTAAAGAGAGTAGGCCCTGAGTAGGCTTTTATCAAAGAGCCATGTCCATTTGCTTTGGCCGCGTGTGCAGGAGCGCTGCAAATGGCTGCGCTGCGATATGCTGCAGCTTCCTCAGGCCGATGCACGTCAAATGCACGTCTGCACATGCCGGCAAGTGGCATTCTTGATGAGATCGTTTTGGTCGATCTCGCTGTTATCCTATCTGCTTGTGCTTTGTGGAAAGCAGATGAGAATGATTGAGAATGATGCTCATGACACCAATGATCGGCAGGCGATTCATACTTGACAGCATTGCAAAGCCCTGACAGAGAAACAGTCAGTTCCCGATAGTTAACTAAACTGGCCCCAAACCACCGTTTAGCTGTACATACCAAGTAGGGTTAGGAGAGCAGATTCGGATGACTGATTGTATTTTGGCTCAAGGAAAATAGGCGTGCCCGTTGTGCGTCTTTCCTTGTCTTAAGTACCTTTGTTGTACTTAACTGGTTAACAGCCTCAGGCTACGTGGTCACTTTGGTAGGAACGTAGGCAAAGCCGCGCGCCGCCATAGTGCCCCCTCCATAACCGCACACCTGCCTTGAGAGTGTGCTTGAAATTGCGCGACAGGAGCCGCTGGCCCTGCCTCATTCATACTTCACATCCAGCATTGTGTCGAGCCAGAGCCAGGCTCAGCAATTGCATTCACTTCACCTGCAAGCCACCGTTGGGCTTTCCACGTGGCATTCCATATCTCGAAATCTTCGATCGTGCATGCAAAGCACTGAGCCGGAAGAGCATTACGCAACACACCTCCACATTTGGGTTCATTTCATTAAGGCCTTGCGTGAGAAACGCATCACGCGTTTGTTGATTGCTCATCCGCTAAATTGGTGGAGAAGGTTCGTGAGTAATCTTCTTGCTAATCACTACAGAGAGGTATCGTTTGACTGGCAGCTTAGGGTCCTTGTCCGTGCTTTAACGTACGCCGACGATAGGTGGGTCCCTAGATTGCCTCAATACTTTCCGTGACATCCAGGTACATCGTGTGGCTGCGCATCTCCGCTGCGGTGTCGAGGTGCTCGCCCCTCTTGCCCTGGTTGGTTCTGACTTTCGGACTTCACTTCAAACATTCCTGAACATCTTGCCTTTGTACCCTCTCCTGTGAACCCGTGCACGGTTTAGGGAGGCTAGGCCTTGTGGGTACCCTAGGCGTCTGACGAAGCATCACTGCATCACCGTGTGCTTCGCCTCGAACTGCCCAAACAGCAGGTTCAGTTCAGACTTCGATCTTCGCGTGGTTTGTGGTCTCCCTTCGGGTTGAGACTAAGCCCATCACTCCGCCAACAGCAAACCCACAGTGCCGTCGGCTTGACCACGCACTGTGAACGCAACATCGGACAAAGTCCCAATCCCTAAGAGGTTTCAGGGTCAAAGCAAAGAGAGTCGCGGGTCTTCCCCACTCTCATCCGTGTGCATTGGCTCAGACAGCCGGTTGAGTGCGTGTCGTTAGTTGAAAGACCTGCATTGCCCCAATATCCCATCTGAGGAATCCCGGCAAGGTAGTCAAGCTCAGGCACTCTGCACACATTCTTCTGGCCACTTTCTAGGCTTGTTGGGGTCGCCGCCCGAATTAGGCTTAGAGGGGTCGCCGCCCGAATCAGGCTGTGCAATTGTCTCTGGTACCATGGGTTGGAACGATTTTTTTGCAGGCGTGGGAACGCGTGACCTCTGAAGAGTCCTTTGTGGAGCGTGTGACTGCTGCTTTTTCCAGGGCCACGAACTCGCCTGCGGTCAAAGGCTCGTCTGAGTTCCGTCGGAGGAAAGCTGTCCTCTTGGTGGTCATCCGTGCGCTGGTGCAGCTTCTCATCGGTACTCAGCAACAGTCTGGGGCCATACGGCTGGTCCGAACTCGAGAAAGAGAGCTCGAGGGCACGGAGGCATTGCCATATCATCCTTACGCTACGTTCGTCGAGGATACCCTGGAAGAGGTCAGGGGAGTGCTTCAGGCACCTTCGCCGGAGCCTGAGATACCGGCTCCGAGGACTCCTCCTGTCGCAGTGCGTTCCAGATCTCCGCCTCGTTCCTTGGTTGAGGGTTCTGACCAAACTCCGGTACCTCCTAGACCGCGACCGAAACATAAGGGTGATCGAACCCCTGCACCTCCTAGGGCACGACCTAAACATAAGGGTAATAGAACCCCGGTTCCTCCCAAGGCAAGTACCTTGCCCGGAACACCAGGTCCGTCACGTGCACCGGAGGCTGCAGCAGATCTTCTTGTGTATCGTCCCAAAGCAAAGGCCCGACCCGAGTCCAGACCACCGCAGGACTGGGAGTTGGACGAAAGAGAGTATCCAACCATAGCGGATTCGTTCAGGGAACAGGTTGAATTGGGACAACACTCAGATAGAGAAGCCATAAACCGGTGGACTACTGAAGAGTGGAGAGAGCATAATCAGGCGCTCTCATCTTCTTCTTCTGCCGCGCCGCGTGTTGCACCTTTGGAAGTGGTCGAAGTGCGTGAGGACATCCCTGTCCTGATTTCATTGGATTTCAGCGGGGTGCTCAACATCCACTTTCAGGACAGCCGAGATTTTTTGGACCGTTTGAACGCAGAGCGTCCGAGCCACGTGAAGCTGAAGTTTATTTGCACGAGTTACTCTGGGACAGAACGGGCCAAAGAAACGCGTCAGTCGATGGCTTCGGAGCTTCCGGGCGTGCCAGTCTACATCACTAGCTCTCCAACGGGCCGTCCTGGAAAAGGAGCCTTCATTAAGCGTTTGATGGACCGGCGGTCGGATCACTTTGCGTGTCATTTGGATGACAGATCAGACATCGTGCGGGACGTCGAGGCGTATGGTGTTCACGGTATTTTGGTATCGCCGAATACGTGGCTGACTGATCTCGTGCCCACTGTGTTGTTGTGGCTGCGGTCCCTGTAAAACGCTAAAAGAGAGCTGCTGACCTTCAGGGGAACCTGGGGTTTCTATTGCCTGGCACCATGGCGATGAGTCCCGAAACTACTGATTCCTCGCTCCAGGTGTCCACTTCCAGCACGCCGCCTACACAACAGGCGCGGGCACTCAGTGCTGTAAGGGCACAAGAAGCAAGGGTAGGAGAGAGCAGTAGTGATTCCACTCCCGTAAGAGCCGTTTCAACCGGAAGGGGAAGGTCCTCTCAACCCTATGCCTTAGCTAGTTCCCGAAATCGCTCTTCCTCCGCTAGGATGCAAGCTTTGTTGCCTCCGCCAGCTTATGCATGTGAAGTTGCAAGTCCTGCACCAGCAAGTCAACCTGTTTCGCTTGCACCGGGCGATGGGACAACCACCCCGGATGTGCACTTGCATCAGCATGTTCAGCGCATTGCCCCAGAATTGCACCTGCGTCAGAGTCGTCAGGAATTGCATCTTCATGGGGTTGATTCCCGAACACATTCTCAGGCCGTTGCTGCTGCACAGCTGGCACAAGCGCAAGCACAAAACATTCAACAGGACGCTCAGGTGTTTGCCCAGAACGTTCAGCATGAAGCTCAGGCATACGTGCAGGTTGCAAAGAGTGAGGCTCAGGCATATGTTCAGAGCGCTGTCACTTCTGCTCAACATGAAGCCATGCAGCACGCACAAGAGTATGCAGAGCGCGTTAGGGCTGAAGCTGAGAGACAGGTCCAGAGTGTTTCAGAACAAGCCGGTCAGCATCTTGCACAAGCAAACGAAACCATTGCCTCACTTCAGGCTAGGAATCGTGAGCTTGAGGAGCAGCAGGAAGAAATGATGAAGCGGATTGCGATGATCCAAGCTGAGATGCAAAGCATCAAAGCTCAACAACAGTCCCAAGCCGACACATCCCACCTTCACGCAGAGCGAGTGTCGCAGGCCTCAAGGGCTCAGGACCAAAATGGCACGGAGATCAGTGAAGCCCTCAAGGCCTTGGCTGCAAGTGTTGGTGAGACAATGAAGGAGTTGCGAGAAATCGTCAGTCCCAAAGCATCCAAGCCTAAAAGCAAAGCGAAAGGTTCGGGGCTCCGAAACGGGACACCCTCCCCTAAGCATAAGAGTCCAAAGGTCTCAGCGACTCAAGGTCAAAGATCTGCTGGTGTGGCTGCTGCGCCTGTTCCAAATCGGTTTGGATGCTTCTGCGCACCCAGGTTGCCAGTTTTCACCGGTGTTGGTTTGCCGGCTCCGTCTAGATCCAAGAAGGGTTCTTCGAGTGACAATCCCTTCAACGTCTTCTCCACTCCCAAACCTCCTTCAGTCGTGCATCCCCCAGACCCTCCGATGCACTACGACATCGGGTCCGAACACGAGGAAGGTGAGGAGGAAGAGGAGAGGGAAGATGACCCCATCATTGATGTCACCGATGCACCGGGGGAAGAAGAAGTAGACTATGAGCAGGATACTTACCACAACAAAGATCTTCGAGACCTGAAAATCCCTGCACTTCCTTCGACAGCCGCGGGATATCGAGCATGGAGGAACGGCGTTTTGACATCGTTCAGCAGCATAGACAAGAGTGGGAACGCCAGGATACTGAGATGGCTCCAGGTCGCCCTTGATCCAGCCATAGGAGACCGACAGATGCGCAATCTGCAGGTCACGTCTGACGGCCTTCCCCGCCTTGATGCATTCCTGGCTGCACAGCTTACAGATCCAAAACACCTCAAGGGAGACTACGGAGTCGCTGCCCAGGCGTTCACCGAGCGAGCACATGCGTTAGGCGTGCAGCCTTCCGGGCGTGCGCTGTTGGCAATGCTCAGCCGAAGGTTTCGGGTAGACCGGATCAGGGGGGCGACAGTCTCCCAGCAGACACTCTTAGCCATCCAGCTCGAAGGCTTCAGCCAACAACAACTGCAAGCCTTTAGAGAAAAGGTTGAGTTTTGTTTGAACGGTTTCAGTCCCGAAGCATGGCCCGCTGAGTCTACCTTGTTTAGCTGGTTATACTCCAGGCTCAAGCACTGCAGGCTTCTTTCCAGAGCAGTCGACAAGATCAAAGACTCCAATCCAGGTAGCAACAAGCGAACCTTTGCGTGGTTGTGGTCGCAGCTTGTCGAATTGCTAGATGAGCTGAGAGAAGAAGCAAACGAAGAGTCAATTCGTGACACTCTCATCAAGCCCAAAGCCAAAGCTGCTCCCGCCCCAAAGAA